AGGTTCTTTCCCCTATCCCAATTTCTTTCAAACTTCGTAGGCATAGTCACTACCATCCCATCAAGGTCACTGTTGAGGCCTTTCTTTCGCCCTACCTATCTCCAATATTACAGAAGCTACAGACTTCGTACAAATTGCTCTGGATAGTCCGAGAGAAGCTCTTTCCTTTGACACGTAGAAACATGGCGTCATTGCACGCACATCGTTGCGACACGATTGCATTTCTAGTATTTATATACGTTTACTTTTTATATCTTTACAGTCTTCTTTGAAAGGACACAGTCATTCCAAGAACTATTCCCCATATTACAGTTAGTATAGAGGCGGGCTGGCCAAAGGAATTTGGGGGGGGGGGGGGGTGTTTTCCCAGCGGTCCACTCGATATTTTGGCTTGAAGGTCTGAGGGCCGGAAAATGTCAGATTCCCTAAACTTATTGCAATGACGAACCTTCGTCATTGCCTTGTTTTCGTTCACATTCTGCCCCATTAATTGCAATGACGACCTTCGTCATTGCCTTGTTTTCGTTCACATTCTTCTTATTAATATTCTTACTTCTTCTTCCTCTTCCTCTTCTTCTTCTTGTCGTCCGGAATCCCATTCGTTTTGCACGTAGTGCTTGTTATTCCTAGTTAGGTGCTTTCCTCATGTCCTTTTCCTTTCAAATTTCATAGGCATAGTCTCTAACATCTCATCAAGGTCACTACATTCTTCGATTCTCGAAATCACTCATGCATAACCGTCCAGGCGCCATTTTGTCCGTTTCTGGTCCATTTTAAGGCCTTTCTATCTTCCTTCCTATCTCCACTATCCTAGACCCTACAAACTTCTAACAAATTCCTCTAGATAGTCTAAGAGGTGTTCTTTCATCTGCGACAAATAACCTGACCTTCAAAATGCCATCTTCGTACTCAAAATTCAAATCTGAAACCGACTCCGTCAAAAATCTCTCAAATTCTTGAGAAATTGACCCCTAAATAATCTAAAACTGCCATAAATTTCTCATATAAATTCCGTTTTGTATTTAAATCTTACAGTATCTTAATCTCATAATTGCACATAGCCCTGCTAAATTTGACGCCCCAATGGCTTTGCAAAACATAAATAGCGCCCTCTAAAGTTCTGGGAATTGGCTTTCTCTCTGTGGCCGTATCTCCATTATGGCTTGGCAAATCCGTACCCTTTTTTGGATTTAGATACTTGAAGATATGCCCTTTCCAGCCATATACAAAATTATATACCCTAACACTGACCGACTTTGCGAAAAATGCCCTCCAAATTCGCCATTTTCAAGAAAATTGAGAAATAACTTCAACTTGCTCTAAAATGGCGATCGTTATACCTACATCAATGAAACTTTGCAGACATATGTATCATTATACGTGACAACTGTCTGTCAAGTTTGGTAAATTTCGAAAATGTCAGCGCAAAGTTATCGCCAAAAATGATGAATTTACTATGCATTACGTAATAGCGCGTTTAATGCGTGCAATACATTGCGCGAAGATAAAAATGGTGTCAAACTGACCGCAATGAAATGCCCTTTCGAATGATACCAAGTATAGTATATGTTCACACACAAAATTGTGAATAAATCGCATTTGAACAAAGGTCACTACACGAATTCCGCCGAGTTTCCGCCCGAATCTAACACGTATCGGCTATGACGTCATTTTTTCAGACTGCTTTTTGCCCCTTAAACGTCCTTTTTTTTCCTTGAAAATTTGCAGTGACATGCCGAGTTGCAATACGCAGGGCACCTCATGGCCGGATTTTTAAAATTGGTCAATGGGGCCATTTAAGACGCCATTTTGTCCTATAAATCTATTTTACATCACGTGTTTCGATAGGATTATCATAGAAAAAAAGAGAGTGGTTTACAATAACAATCATGAAATTCTCTTTCTAATGATACCAAATACGGCCCATAAAGAGACATAAAGAGAGAGAGAGAAAACAATTTAACTCCGGTCATAATACAGATCCTGTACGTTTTCCGCTCATGCATTACACGCATTGTCTATGGGGCATTTCGGGTTCACGCTTTTGACCCCCAGAACGATCTTGATTGCACTGACGAACATGCACCAAATCCCCTTGGTTTTTGCACGCAGTGCTTGCGAGCCCTTTCTACGTCCTTTCCCCTATCCCAATTTCTTTCAAACTTCGTAGGCATAGTCACTACCATCCCATCAAGGTCACTGTTGAGGCCTTTCTTTCGCCCTACCTATCTCCAATATCACAGAAGCTACAGACTTCGTACAAATTGCTCTGGATAGGGCTCTTTCGTTTCACACGTAGAAACATGGCGTCATTGCACGCACATCGTTGTGACACGATTGCATTTCTAGTCCATATTTGTTGTTGTATTCATGAATCAGTTATCTTTGTCACATCTGATCTTGTTGGATCCAGTACGACATCCCCGGGATTTCCACACTCTGCATTCCTTAGCAAAAGACAACATTTCGTTTGATAACAATTCGTTTGTATTGTTATATGTAAGTGAGTGCATGCTGTAAATATCTCCATTGTTCGTTCGGGCATTGAAACTCACAAAAAAAGCTTAAGGGGTCATGAGATCTTTTCCAATAGGTCGCGTCCAATATTATACAAATATACACTGCCTTGAGAGGTTCTGGTTAAAACTATGCGCAAGAGGTGACTCCAATAGTAGCCTACTATTTGCTGAGGGGCGCAGCCCGAAGCAAATAGTACTTTTGGAGTCACCGAGGCCCATTGTTTAACCAGTACCTCGAATAGAAGGCATGGTATATTTGTTTTATATCCTGCATAACAAATTAATTTAAAAAATAAAAATAAAAGAAATAAAAACATTTTTGGGGAAAGTAATTTAGAACAAGAAATATGTCAATTTTTATCTAAAAAGATTTTAAATATTTTGTTTTCATTAAATTAAGATTTGAAAAAAAAAATTAATTCAATTAAAAAAAAAAAAAAATCTCATTTTTTTTCCAACTCCCAAATACTAAACCAAAATAGTACTCTCATTTAGTGCTTTCTAAAATTAGGTCAAATATTTCTGGTCATGTGACGAGCTATCAACCAATCAAAAGCCAACAAATTTTTGATGCAGGATATAATAATAAATAGACAAAATGATTATTTAGACCATGCAGAAGAGAGTAGTTGCATGTAGACCACATGTGAATAGACGACTAGACGAGCTGGTTGTAATACAAACGGCAATAAACCAGTGAAACGATCGGTAGGTTATAAAATGTTTATGAATAAATAAATAGATAAATACATAATAAAACAAAAAAATATTACATTAAGATATAAACAAATAAACAAATAAATAAATGTATTAATTAATGTAAGATGGTTGCTTATGTTATAATTGGGATCGTCAGAATCTTGGGGGCGAGGCAGTAGCCCTTGGCCATCCGGCTGATATACGCCAATGTATCGATATGAAGTTCTGGAAAAGAGGGCGGGGAGGTGATTAGGCAGGCTCAAATAAGATCGAACTATAAAAGCCATACTATAGCAACTGTGCACATTCCTGGTGTAAAAGATAAAAGCCTCGAAGAGTAAGTTAAAATGTTGCCTAAATTTGAGTTGGGTACCGACTGCTTGAGTTGCATCATGAACGTGACAATACAACATCAACTACAAACATGTTTTTAAATCGTTAGCAGGTCTGCAAATTATAGTTAATTTTATTTCCAATTCTAGCCTTGCCAGTTCTTCCTCTGCGGTTTGAAACATAAATGACCTTTCCTCGACGTAGAGGTCACTATACTCTCCAGAACATTCTCACTCTCTTACGCTGACGTGTACTAAACTCCCAGCAGTTACAAGACAATGAAATAAATAGGGATTGGACAGAAACAAACAAAAGACAGAGGTCATACGTTTGAATCGAAATTCATGCTGCGAGCTGCGAGGAAATTCAGCAAGAAGTGTCTGTCTGAAATGAAATAACAAGAAAAGCAATGTTGATATTATTTTTTGATTAGCCGATTGCAAAATGCCAAAGACAAGAGGGACAACTCAAAGATTTTATCATCGTTATTGATACATGCATGCATATCTCTCTAAGTGTATGCCGCTGTACTAGTATTCCAACACATGCAAATCCCATCATGAATCATTTATCTGAATTTAATTCAAATCGGGAAAAAATAGATATGGACCAGTACATATAGGCCTAGTGATATCCACAACTAATTTGTTCTCTTTATTTCATGTGGGACAAATTTCTTCGACCTATATATTCAAAGTTGTACGCCAATATTGTGATCCACTGTTATAAGGCTGACAAAAAAGAAAGACCAGATAGAGAGAGAGAGAGAGAGAGAGACAGAGAGAGGGGGGGGGGGCGATAACGTTATAGTAAAGATCTAGGCTACAGGGGGGGGGGGTGGATACATGTATAGGGGCACATTGAAAATTGAGAAAAACATAGGGCCTAGAGCTTTGCAATCATCTTTCTTTCATTACCCCCATTTCAATATCAGCATAATTATGCAATCCCCCAAATAAGTTTATATCCCTACAACTTAAAAGATCCAGTTAAATAATTTTATTTTTTTGTGTAGATATAATGCATGTATTACACTAAATTAGAATGGTAACGTTTTAGTAAGTAAGTCTATAGAAACACAGGAAGTGTCATGTAATTTGCACCCCTTGCCCATCCCCACAAAACAAGAAGGGCCTTTTGACTGTGGGAATTAGGATTTCCTGAGCAAAAGACTACTGGTACAAAACAATAATAATACATGTCCACGTGTGCTTAGATTCTGAGACAGCTAAGTCCACGTGTAATAACTTACCAAAAATTGTTGACTTGGCATGTTCTATCCAATCAACGGACACGTACTGAAACTTATCGCACTTTCGCCATGTAAGGTTTCGTATGATAGGAGATCGATGATTGGCTGATTTCATTGAGCCCCCTGGAAACGTTATCTGATTGGTCAATCAATGATCAGCTGTCAGTGCACCTGTACCTCCACAAACACCAGTAAATTCTACACCGCCACGTCAGCTTAGAGGGCCAGAGCGACTCCGGATGCCAGCACATAAATTCGACGGTGATCGTGATAAAATTCATCATTTTGAGGAAAATTAAGCTCGAGTTTTCCGTGTAGAAGACACAAAACTTACCAGCTCTTGTAAAAGTCGAGAAGTTTCTTCTGAAACTTTTGTGCAACAGCGTGAATTCTTTGCGTAAAGTTTTGAAAGTGTTCACTCAATCGAATCGCAATGATGAAGAGTGTATTGTTTGCATACGTTGTGGCCGTGGTCATCTCTCTCGCAGTTTGTAAACCGAGCGATCACGAGGGGAGTAGCCGAGTGAAGCAAGAAACGAAATTGAGCGATCAGGCTCATTTTGATGAGCATGGAAAACACAACCCAGACTATGATCACGACGCTTTCCTAGGCGAGGAGGAGGCCAAGAAATTCACCAATTTGAGTCCAGAAGAGAGCAAAGAAAAATTAGGGTAAGGCACCTCATTTTAGATATAAATTAAGGGTGACTAAATTAGAAATTCATGTTGACTTTTGTTGATCTGTAAATGTAATAATGTATATATCACATATCTTTTGTCACTTTTTGATGTACATTATGTCATATATTTCATATCGTTTTTTCTATTACTTTTGTTCTACCTGCTAAGCTCCACCCCTATAAAAAAAACCTCCAAAAGCAATGCCTTTTGTGACATCATGCCAGTCATTCATCATGTTCATCAGACATCAGGGGGCCGTTTCTCGAAACCGTCATAACTACAAGATCAACGACATCTCGCCACTGTCACGCAACTTGTCAGCTAAGTGTTTCACGAAGCCGTCTTTGCCAAGATGAGCGACAAGCGAGTTGTCACTGCTCTGAACCTGTCATATCTTTTTAATTGCTGTAAAGCGCCATCACAAGTCAGTTTGTTGCAAGCGCGTAGCCAGGATTTCATTTTAGGGGGGGCGGTAGTGAGCACGCGAAGCGTGCGAATCACTTAAAGAGCGCGCGAAGCGCGCTCCCTAGGGGGGTGGGTGCAGGGAGGGGGGAGTTTCCCCCCTCCCGCGCGAAGCGCGGAAGCTTTGAAAGAAGACGATTCGTTGTACCTTTCTCGACTCATAATCCTTGTCTGAATTCAGTCCCTCCCCTCTCTCGCGCAAAGCTTTGACGTTTCATTAAATTATTAGAGAAAGAAGACGATTCGTTGTACCTTTTCTGACTCATATTTCTTAATTTGAACTCAGTTTCCCCCTTCCCGCGCGAAGCGCGGAAGCTTTGACGATTCATTGTACCGTTCTCGACTCCTTTTCCCTTTTTCTTCCTACGTCCTCTTTCTTTTTTTTCTTCTCTTTCTCTCTCTTTTTTTTTGGCCGGCGTTTTGGGGGGGGGCGACCGCCCCCACCGCCCCCCCTGGCTACGCGCCTGGTTCGTTGCCATTCCATGGGCCGCGAAATGGACGATTAGTTTCACTATCATTTTGAGAAAAATATAGACGAGTTCGGTACGTAAGTCTCTGGGATGCGAAATGCAAATGTACAAAAGTGAGAATACAAATTATACAGAAACTTTAAAAAGCTGAATATAAACATTAAATCACAAATCATTAAACTATAACATATAAATAAGAGAGGTAAGAATGTTACACACCGTTTTCCATAGTCGATCCATAGTCTTTTCTTAGGATACCGTCATACCTTTGGGGCCTATGTGCATTATTATTCCCTCTCTAATTACTTCTTCCAAATTATATTTTCAATATAAAATCAATTATATAACGAGTATTTATGAGACTCTAGAATAAAAACTGGCTGAGAAAAGACATTTTGCCTAAAATTCCTCGTCACAATAAACAAAGAAGTACGTATTGATAAACTATCACAATACGGTATCCTTCAACTAACTTTTGATTCGACTGTCAAAAAAAAAACACTCACCGGTTTTTCTTCAATTTAAGAATCTTTACAGAAATATGCAAATCGTTTGATGATGTAAATATGATAATGACACTATTTATTATTTATTTTAGGAGAATTTATATGTATATATTTCTTTTTGAACAATTTTAGCCCCAAAACTTGTTTTGGGTTATTCTTGGTAAATCAAATGGATCGTGACAAAGACTATGTTCTTGAGCTGCTAGTATCGCGATATATCGATATCATGTCTGTCATGGCTTTGTGAAACGGTTTATCCGCTTCATGACATCTCCGTAGGTCGCCGACAAAGATATGACTGTCATGGAGTTGGTTTCGAGAAACGGCCCCCAGTTGGCTAGATCGATGAACAGTTCAGACATTGGTATGTCCCTTCATATCAACTGACAATCAATGAGAAAGAAATGTTAAACTTACTTAATTCTCAAAATCTGTTTTTAATTTACTTAATAAATAAGAAATTTATTTTTTGTAGCATGTCTTTGTCCTTTAAAAAAATCTTATCATAGTTTTTATTGAGCTTTCCCTGGATAAATTCATTAAATTGCTCTCCTAACTCGTTTTTTTTATACTTTTTCTGCACCATTTTAAATTTTCAAAGTTTTTCAACTATTTTACAGGCAGCTATTTGACAGGGTAGACTTAAATAAAAATGGATCAATCAGCGAATCAGAGCTCAGCGCCTGGATTGAAATTCAGACTGTAAGTATTCATAGGATGCCGAGTTCAATTGTAAAATAGTATTGGCCAATCAAGACTATCGTTGCATGAACATAAGGTTAACAAGGGTGCCAATTTACCAATCAGGATCGTTATTTCAAATTTGCAATTATTCACAAACCTTCATGTTACGGGGCACAGTTAACTGGATCATGTATATGTTTACATGGTAGATATAACCTTGTTCCCCCTGCGTAAAGCTTTATGTGTAGAAGCGGCTCCTGTAAGTTCTGCGTGCATTAATTAGTGCGATATGTATTGGGTAGAACGTACATGTGAAGAGGAGAAAACTGTATTTTCATTTTGATTTTTAAATTTCAATAATAAGGATAATGCATTGCACTCCATTCTTGTATAGCGCTTAACAAAGTATAATGTCTCTATGCACTTCCAAAGAGCTTTTGAAATCATTACCCTAGCTTTTAATAGCTCCGGCAGCCGTTATTAGTGCACTAGTGCATTTCAAGGAATAATCCTACCAGGTACCCATTTACCTCACCTGGGTTGAGTGTGGCAAATGTAGATAATGTCTTGCCAAAGGACATTAGAGCCGCGGCAGGACTCGAACCGCGGACCTTGTGATCCACAGTTCGGTGACATATCCACTCAACCAAGACACCTCTAAACTCTGTGCACACACATGATATCTTGGTAAATATTTGTTCAGCACCCTATTACTACGGTTATTCCCTGTTTTATTGCTTCCTTTTCTACAGAATTCTGTACTCTATGGCGAGCTGGACAGACTCTTCAAGGCTCACAATATGAATGGCGATGACCTCTTGACATGGGCAGAATACAACCATACGACCTACAGCGGACTTCCACGTGAGTCATCTGCCTTGTTGTCTGTTAACAAATAGCAGTTCAGATTCTTTTGCTTGTTTTTAACTCATTAGGATTCCCTCCTCAAAATGGCAACAGTTAATATTACACTTCTCGCCTTCATAGTTTGAAGATGATAAGATTGTTTATTAGATGAGCCAATGTGAACAGTTACAAAATGTACCTGAAAAGAAAAAGCCAACTTGTGCATTAAAATCATATTTTTTCTTTAACCTCACATTGCCAATCTAAAGAATTAAATGATTAGTTTCAATTAAATAGCTTGTATTTGAGAGGGGCACAATTAGTGCTGTAACCGAACCGCCGAACCGAACGGAAGTTCGCCGAACATGGCACTTCCGAACCGAACCGAACCGAACCGAACGCAAAGGCCTGGTTCGGATGTTCGGCAGAAAAATGTAAACGTTTTTGCAAGCTAATACACTAGTCATTTCGTACCTAATTTTCATGTCATGATTGCTCATTTTATATTTACTTTTTTCCCATTTTCCGCCTTTGTGATTTATGCCTATCCAGTGGTGGGCGCGACTTCACTGGCGTCATTTAAATCCCAAGTCCTGACCACGCTACGTCGCGATCGCAAGCCATAAACAAGAATACATGTGCGTGATCAAAACAACTTCAGCTCAAACCCATTCAACAAAAAATTAATATTTTAATTGTAACAATATCGGACAAATTTTACAATTAAAATAATGAAATAAATATATATTATAGTATGGTATTTATTTATTCAGGAAAAATATGGATTTTATATTTTTCGTATTGAAAATAAAAACTTATAAAAAACAGTTATTGACGAGCCATTCAAGATGGCAGCTTTCATGACTCTAACATTAGACAACAACCGTCTCGGAAAATCTTTAAAAAATATCATTTATTGACAAATTGAAAATATGATTCTTTTAAAATTGAAAATAAAACACGATTCAAGACCGAAATACAAATGTAAGTAGTATTTTTCTTTACAAATGTAAGTAGTATTTTTCTTCACAAATAATTATGTTTAAAGCAGTTTTTTAATGTGAAATTCGTGCTGGTCGGAAGCAGTGTGCAGAAGACCTCCGTGCTGGTCAGGCCCGGCAGGCCAGCCAGCCCGCCCAGTGCCGACCGCCGTGGCTATAACGCTGCTTGCTATTATATTACCGAACCCCGAACCGAACCAAGTTCGGGTGAAAAATTGCCGAACTCTGCCGAACCGAACCGAACACGAACATAGCGTCTGACTTACAGCACTAGGCACAATGCTCTGCATTGGAAAAAGAGTTGACATTATTTGTACTTTTTCTACTCGTCTATAGAGGAGATATTTTGAAGCATACTGGATCATAAGATAATCTGTAAGGAGACATTTTAAGGCTAATCGGCTATGGGTTAAAGAGAACTAATCGCTGCAAAATATGTTGCTCTCTCTCTGCTATACGTTCTATGTCACTATATTACAATAAAAATACGAGCTTCATAATACTACTGCTCCTAGGGAGAGATATTGCAGCAAATTTGCAAGATAAAAATAATGATGATGATGATAATCATCATCATTATTTCTTTATCTGGTTCCATCTCTCGGTAGTGGAGAAGGGGGTCACAATGTAGAAAGATATGACCATGGATTTCTGCAAGAAGACACTACAGGACAAGGCCCATTGGTCTGAAGCCCTGATGATTATGAAGATGGTGATGGTGGTGATGATGATGATGATAGAGTTATTTTGTAACAAAAATTGTCTCTCTGTCTCTTTCCATCACTAGTGGAAAAGCTGATCACAATGCAAGAAGACAAGACCCTGGACTTCAGAAAGAAGGTACGACAGGACAAGGCCCGTTGGTCCTTGGCCGACCAGAACCGAGACGAAGCCCTGGACCGGGAGGAGTACATGGCCTTTGAGTGGCCTAGGGAGAAACTCCACATGAAGGACGTCGCCATCGCAGAGACCATTGAAGATATAGACAAGGACGGAGATGGTTACGTCAACTTTGATGAGTTCATGAGTGAGTAGTCCTAATTTTCCCTCTTTTTGATTAAAGCCCCACTGTACTACTTATACCTACTTGCGCCCTCTGTAATAGCAAACAATGCCTAATCGGTGCCTGTTGGTCCCCATGATCCCCTTTTTCTTATGTTGATTGAGAGCTGATTTGAAGAGATAACCACCTTTCAATGATCTTGCAGGGAGGTCTAATTCCCCCTGGCCAAACTAGTGCAGATGGGCTTCAAAGTTTATTATTAATGTTGCCCTTTTGCTTGCCGTTGGTGCTGATTAGCACGGTCGCACGTTTGCCACACATGCAGATTGGTATAAAACAATAGGCACTGATTGTGGGGGAAGGTTAATTTATTGTTCAACACATTGTCTTTGAAAAACTGCCCATATCTGGTCTTTGTTATCTCTATGACTAGTTCTACTATGTTAAAGTTTTGATAACAGTCCTGATAATTACCCAATTTAAATCGGGTTTCCTTAATTTTTTTTTTACAGATTTTACCCCCATTTTCCCCTTATTTTCCCCTCATTTCCCCCTCATTTTCCCCTTATTTTTCCCTATTTTCTTTATCAAAAGGGGGTGATTTTGTTAGATGCCATTTTTTTTTACCCAAATCCTCTTTTTCTGTTTACTCAAGGGGTGGATGGCTGAGGTAAATTTTTTCTTTTTCTTTTAGTGCTCACTTTCACCCCTGTGATAAAAACTGGTAAACAATATTAATAATAATAATAATAATAATACATAACATTTATTAGGCGCTTAATACTGATGTTTCTAAGCGCACAGTGTTCTGATTAAGAGAAGACTATAACCCGTAGAATTAAATTAGAAGAAAAAGCAAAAATACAAAAGTAACATAGATAAGGTAAGAAAAACAGTGGCAATCAACTAAATAAAGACAAATATGGTGCGCACCTCCATTGACCGACGCACAACTGCAATTTACAATTCGAAAAGATAGGTTTTGAGTAGAGATTTGAATTGAGATACAGAGGGGGCGCAGTGAATAAAGGCGGGCAGTTTGTTCCAGAGAGCGGGGGCAATAACTGAAAAGGCGCGGTCACCATACCGGGTGTTAGTGCGGGGTCCAGGTGTTAACAGTAATGTGGAAGATGAACGAAGTGTTCGTGACGACGTACGGGAACGTAAGGATATGAGATCGGAAAGGTAAGAGGGGGCTAAGCCATTGATAGCTTTGTAGCACAGGAGAAGAATTTTGAAGGATATGCGGTGGTGAATTTTAAGCCAATGTAGTGAGTTCAATATTGGAGTTATGTGCTCTGATTTACGCGAGAGAGTCACAAGCCGAGCAGCGCTATTCTGTACCCTTTGAAGTGGGACTAGATGTGACTGAGGGAGGCCAGAAAGAGAAGAATTACAGTAATCGATATGGGTCGAGACAAAAGCATGGACTAATATTATACAAGTTTTTCTTGACTGAGGCATGATTTCATCAATGGAGAGCTCTCCCATTTGTTTTGTTGAGCACCCAGGATATTCTTTTTCTTTGGTAGGGGGGGGGGGCGGTTTCGTTTTCCAGTTTTTTTAATATTTTTTATTTTATTTTTATTTTTTTAATATTTTATTTTTAATTTTTTAATTTTCAATTTATGCCCCTCCACCTGGCACTATGCCTGGCAATGTCTACCAGCTCAGTAATCGGTGTATTGACTCCCCACTTGGAAACTAGAACAACACTCAAATATGTCTGTCATCTTTGAAAGTTTGAAAGTAATCTTTCTGATAGATCTCAATATGTAGTTTATAATAATAATTCCTCCAATTTTTCTTCTATTACATGGCGTACCACAAGGTTCTATCCTAGGTCCTCTATTGTTTTTTTAATTTGCATTCATGATCTTACACATTCTTCTAAAAACGACATTGTTACTATTATTTGTGACAAGTTCACAAACACAAATCAGCGCCTTTAACTGCATCTCGCAGTTAAATGAAAGTCCTTCTCGCGTGGGTTTTTAAACACAGACCTGGCTTGCTGCCGACATTTCTAAAATTATAAATCGTTTAACCGAAAACCGTCTGGTTTTGACTGGCGGTTAAGCGAAATTGGAGATATCCGTGATGTTACAGCACTATCACTACCGGAGTGTTGGCTCAGTCAGTAGAGCGTCCGCCACACAACCGGGAGGTCGTGGGTTCGAACCCCGGCCGCGTCATACCAAAAGACGTTAAAAGATGGGAGTTGTTGCTACCTTGTTTGGCGTTCAACGATAAGGGATAGAGCAACGTCGATCTGGCGCTGCTCAGTGGCTGCCGGGCTCACGATCAATTGGGCAAAAAGAATTTCCGTTTCGGTTTAATAAAATTTGGAGTGGACTATTATTAGGCTATTATTATTATTATTATTAAACATTTCCTTTCTCTCATGTAAATAAAAAAAGGGTTTTTTTGAATTTTTTTTGTGTACATGGAAGATTTGTGAGATCTCAATGTACGTCATGCATCATATCTCCAGGGAGTGGAGATGACCTGGATAATAATGACTAAGCGCTATATAAATCCATGTTAGTATTATTATTAATATCCATGCATTGCCAGTTATAGATACTAAAGCAGAATAATAATTCTTACTTGACCTTTGACAGAGGACCTTTGGGATGGCCAGGGTGAGATGCCTGATTGGGTGGAAGCAGAACGCAAGGGCTTCGCCGAGTACAGAGACAAAGACGGTGATGGCAAACTCAACCATGAGGAAGTTGGAGACTGGATAATGCCAACCCATTATGACCCCATTGAATCAGAGGCTAAGCATTTGATGTATGAGACAGATGAAAATAAGGTAAGAGGATGGTAGTAACTCTTTAGTGAACATAACCCTTATATGTCAGAGAACAAGCACCTTATATGATAAGGTGAACCCATTATGACCCCATTCTATCAGAGGCTAAGCATCTTATGTATGGGACAGATGAAAGTAAGGTAAGAGGTTGGTAGTAACTCTTTAGTGAACAGAACCCATTGGTCTCTGACATGTAAGGTGAACCCATTATGCCATTCTATCAAAAGCTAAGCATCATCATATGATAGTAAGGTAAGAATCCCATATGACCCAATTATATCAGAGGCTAAGCATCTCATGTATGAGACAGATGAAAATAAGGTAAGAAACGCATTATGACCCTATTATATCAAAACATCTTATGGATGAGACAGATGAAAATAAGGTAAGAAACCCATTATGACCCTATTCTATCAGAGCCTAAGCATCTTATGTATGAGACAGTTGAAAATAAGGTAAGAAACGCATTATGACCCTATTATATCAAAACATCTTATGGATGAGACAGATGAAAATAAGGTAAGAAACCCATTATGACCCTATTCTATCAGAGGCTAAGCATCTTTTGTATGAGATAGATGAAAATAAGGTAAGAGGATCGTAGTAACTCTTTAGTGAACAGAACCCATTATAACCCTTATAATATATCAGAGACCATGCACCTTATATGATAAGGTGAACCCATTATGATTCAATTCTATCAGAGGCTAAGCATCTTATGTATCTCTTGGATAATATTATTATTACATTTTATATTGTGTTACTGTTACGGTTATTATGTTACTTTTAGCCTCTTGGTTTAGAAAAAAAAACTTATGTATTGACTTTAATATTACATATGTACAGTATTTTGTCACTGGTTTCAAGAACCAATAAACAAATAATTCTGACCGAGTTGAATTTGAAGGTACCACAAAACAATAGTTGGACTAATGCTAAACTCGACTTGGGTAGTGTTAAAACACATTTTTGGTGGGTAGTTGGTAGTTTGGTCAAAAAAATGAATTTGACTTCAAGAAAATGTCACTTGTGCTAATTTTAGTTATGAAGAGTTAACTGTACTCACAGAGGCTTTGAGAAAGCATTGGATATAAGTGTTATGCCAGTTTATGAAATCGGTGAAAAATTATGTCCACAGTTTGTTATCAATTATATATTTATCACTTATGTATAGTTATCCTCTGTTTATGGCTTATCCACTCAATTGTGAATATCTCAATGATTGTTTCCATACTCGAAATTCAACAATATCCCAAAATTTTGATCAAAGTTGGAACTTGCCCTACCTCATATTTCCATTTCCCAAACTATTTAAAGAAGTCCACTATTTTTTCTATTACATTTGAAGTTCTATAGAAATTTGGAATTCAATTTTTTTAATTACATTTAATCTTCTTCTTCTTGTTTATTACAGGACAACGAACTTACAAAAGAAGAGATGATCTTACATTTCAAGCTCTTTGTGGGAAGCAGGGTTACCAACTTTGGGGAACTCCGGCACGACGAATTCTAACGCCCTACATCATTTTCCCAAACTATTTAAATAAAGTCAACTATTTTTCAGTACATTTGATCAAAGGAAACTATTCAAGGAGTGCTTCACGTCTTGGTGCTACATTATTTCATACTATGCAATAACTATGAGTATGGTCAGGTCTTGTAGTTGAAGGTGCTCTAAAATTGTAGTTCCTTTAAACATTGTGTGAACATTTAGAATAACTGATGGCATTTTCAAAAGGTTCTTCAAATGAACCCTAGCTTAGATTAGACAAACTTTTGCAGGAATGTAGGATGTTTATATATTTTCTTTTCCACCTATGTCAGTTTTGTACAATTGAATATATGCATAGTTTTATTAGATTTAGCATAAACTTTTTGCTGCGAGTGAGTAGCTAACTACCCCAAAGTTTTGGAATGATACAGTTCTTGTTGAATCACTAATGCTGAATAATTTACATTGTGTATTGTCTTTAAAGTACTTTTGATTAATTGATTGATTTACTAAAAAACACAGTCTTACAGGCCTGATAGTTCTTCCTTTTTGTTGCTTGGAATCTGATGATAATTTTCTCTTTTCTCTGATATGGTAGATTAATGATCATGAGTAGTCATCAACTCAATCAAACATGGAAACAAGTACATAGGACTAGTCAGAAAATAAATCTAGACAGCGCCATAAGAGTTTTTGTAACTCAAAAAGCGATCTTGTGAAAACACAACATCAAAGGAATGTAATACTTAAAGATTTTGTGCAAGCCAGATATATACATGTATGTACATGTAGAAAATGAGTCTGGAAATACCAATTCAATATGGCTGACAGCTTTTCACTGTACAGTATGCATTTTATCTCTATGAATTTACGATCAGGATTTTTTCTCCAAGTAGATTGTCACATTCATTAGTTTCTGTTATGAATAGTTTTCATCAATCTTTTGATTTTTTTCAGAGATCCATTTTTCATCAGCAAATTATACTTTGATGTGTATTGACTTTATGTTGTTCATTTTTGTAAAAGTAGAATTTTGTTGAAAACTTGAAGGGATTAAAACGAATTTGATTTTGAAACTTGAAAGAAAAAATAAGGTTATGAAAAAATGAGAAATAAAGTTGTATAAATAAATTTGAACGATTGTTTTCTCACTACAGGGTGAAATATAGACTATGCCCACACTATGCAATATAACGTTTATTGAGAACCAAAAAGGAGTTAACTCATTTACTTCAACACATAGTTAACACCCATCTAGCTCTCGATATCATGTTAGTTCCTCATCATTATTTTGTATAGGCAAATGTGAAGTAATTTATGCTAGCCATTGTTGCCAAAATGCCAACATTGTTTTGTAATGTTGTACTTAAAAGAAGGATTTAATACTTGCCACAAGACTTGGTTTACTGCCAAACAATCAAGCGATTCCTGCCATCATTTTTAATAAAAACAGGAAAGTGAAAGATCTTGTGTTCCTCCATTCTGTGTGTATTTGCAAATTTTATATTTAATAGTTTTCTTCAGATTGAAAGAGGTGGACTTTACGTTTATGTGAAAGAGGGAAACAGTGATTGAGAGACAAACAAGGACAGATAGGAGAGAAGGGGAGAGGGAGAGAGAGAAGGAGAAAAATTGTGAGGGGGATGGGAGTCTGAGAAAAGTCGAGGGGGAGTAAAGAAAGGTGCGTGTTGGACAAACTTATTTTCATATTAAAAGAGATGACATCAAAATAATAGAGGATAAAGAAAAAGAAGCCATAAATAGAAGGAGAGAGAGAGAGAGAGAACGACATAAAAGAAAGAAGAGAAAGGTCGGGATGGGAGTCTGAGAAACGTGGAGGGGAGAGAAAAAGGGTTTGTGTGTTTGGGCTAACTGTTCTCATATTGAAAGAGATGACACAAAGTAGAGGATACAGAAAAAGAAGCCAGAAATAGAGGGAGAGAGAGAGAGAGAGAGAGAGAGAACGAGGAAAAAGAAAGGTGAGGATGGGAGTCTTAAAAACGTAGAGGGAAGAGAAGAAAGGTCTATGTGTTTAGGCAAACTGTACTCATATTGAAAGAGATGACATAAAGAAGAGGATAGATGAAGAGATAGCCAGAAATAAGACGAGCGAGAGAGAGAATGGGGGTGGGGGGTGTTGAGAGAGATTCTAGAGGGGAGAGAAAAAGGATAGAGATCGTGTGTGTTTCCAAACAGAAATGGTATCAATATTTTATCTTTTTGGATGCAGTGAAAAACAGTGAAAAGGAAAATAATGAAAGATATACGATATAATGTACTGGGCCTGGTGTGAAAGCCGCATATTTATTGTAGGAAGGTAGATAGAAAGAGAGAGAGAGAGAGAGAGAGAGAGAGAGAGAGAAAGAGAGAGATGGAGAGAGAGAGAGTTATATAATAGCATAGAGATAATATATGGTAGAAGTATATAGCTCTATGATGATATAGAGCTAGAAAGGGGGAGAAGGGAGGTGGAGTTAATAAGGAAAGAAGGAAAATAAAGAGAGAGGGTGGGGGTGGGGTATTCTTGACATGTTTTAAAATGTCGCAATGCCTATTTCTCTTGAAATAATTATGAAAGAGGAAGGCGAATTGTACGTTTAATTCTCTCTCTCTCTCTCTCTCTCTCTCTCTCTCTTTCAATATATATGCATGTCATATTGAGGGGGGGGGGGGTGTACAAAACTTTCTTACATGTCATTTATAGCATGTATAGATTCATTTACTTGTAATTTGTTACTTACCTGTTGTTATAAACATTCAATTGCCCATAAAGTATCAAAAAATCAAATTAAAAACAACACCAATAAAAAGTGGGAATAATTTTTCTTTCCCCTTAACAAAAATGAAATGATTCTTACAATACGTCTTGATAACATAAGGTTATCTTTTCAGAACCTCATATATATATATATATCAAGAATAATTCATATTAAAACAATAGTTTCATAAAAAGAGGTAATACCAATATGTATGTATGTATGTATTTCAGCTTTATGGGAAGCAGTGAGTTAAGGAGTAAACCTAGCTCAAGGCATCAAGGGGGAAACACCGGTTTCCAACTGTAATTTACTTTTCATTTAGTATTTGTCTTTGAAATGCTTAGATAATAACGGGATCACAAATTTAAAAAAACTTTGATACATGGTCGGGACGGAATAATTATCGGGGTGAATAATGATAAAAAAGTGCACGGTAAAAAAAATCAAGTTCCCATTCCCCTTTCCGAAACTTCGTTCCTGCAATGCCGATAAGACGATATAAAATAGTAAAAGGAAAGACCTTCTAGAAGTATATCCTTGCCAATATAATTGTATTAATCAAGCAAGGGATGTAGATATTACAATTGCGAACACTAATTGGATAGGTCTTTTCTTTGTTTACAGGCCACCCCTCTTTAAAACAAAATGTCAAATTTAAATAGGCCAGTAAATTAATTAAAAAGAAAGAGAAGGAAATACCCAAATAACTACATGTACTTTTAAAATGCCTTTTAATATCATGTGACATAGGCCTTATTCAAGAGCGGAAGCAACTCAGTAAAATCATCTTGAGAGCAACGTGTCAGTAGCCTGTCTACCTGTCAACCTGTTTTGTTGACATTAGATCACTTAATTTATTGTGACCGAGGCAGGAAGTTCTTGAACTAATCGGTGACAGATACACCCGAGACCTCTTTCTCATTTAAGCCCATCCGAAATCACATGCGAATACTGTTATGTAAAGGTATTGCAAATCTACTCCCCCTCAGTAATAATATGTAATATCACTCAGTATGCCCCAATACAGATAAGACCCAACCTGCGAAATACCAGACCTCCTTCCAAGACATTGTTTAATAACTTATTCCAGCTAAATAAACCACGAATTGTGTACATTTTCTAAAGTGCCCCTAAACCACCAAACCAAAAGACTTCCTGTCTTTCTCCCAATAACCAAAGCCCCCTTTTGTTGATAAGATCCTTTCCCAGAACAGTGTTAGCTAGAATTGACTTGTCTTTGTCCCTTTGACACAATGTAACCTAGCCTCATATTCCTTGTGTCCTCCTGTATAATTATGAGAGCTTCTGGCTTTCTGGGGGGAGAGTTCAGTTTTGATCACCATTAGATCAAGACCCTCTTTCTAGCTGGCTCTCTCTTCATCTAGTGTTTTATATATGCAGTTCATAATGATGTGACGGATTTGATTCTCCAAAGTTTGGAGATAATAAATACTCTCATATAGCTCCGGAATTACAAGTCTCTCCTTGCTTCTTTATATTTATGTACCTCTCCTACTGCCAATAACTCAATAGACCGATCCCAACACGACATGGTGGAGGACCCGGCTTTGAAGAATTTTCTTCAATAAGATATCGAGGAGGACCCCGTTTGGTAGGGTTTATTCCTACTACTGATTGTGAGTAAGACCAGCAAGTACTGTGAACATTTCTGTTTTCCTTCGTGGAGGATCATCAACAAGTATATTATATGCTTTCTTCAGATTAGAACTGAGACTTATTTCCATCGCTCTTGATGAGATGCAATATATAGCTTCCATTTACTGCCTCTATCCGTTCAACACCATAGAGTAGACTGTGACCTGTTTTATCCGGATCGACGTTCACTGGTTTTGATTTTTTTAAAGAAATACACTAGCGAGTGAGTAAAGGCAGCATGACTGCAGCCGTTAACACATGTAGACGACAGGGAGCATACGATCGTTAGAATGGCCTTCCCGCTTCCACAACTTTGTCTGTTACCAGGCAGCATGGACCGGATCGACCAAGGCCTCGAAGATGGTAACGTGTCGACTGGCGACGACGACGATGAAGACGATGACAACGACGACAAACTTCAATGCACCAACAGCTGCTACAACGGATCAGGAACGACACCGAAGAACAAGAACAACGCCCTTGGCATAGACAGACAACATGCACCCAGGACCATGATGAGGACATCGATGCCACTACACCCATAATTTTTGCTTAATAACTTTACAACCTGAACTTTCGACTTATCCTATTTTTTCTTCTTCATACTAAATGTATGATCCGCTGTTTTTAAATTTTAACACACCAGACAGATTGCTAGTTATGGGTAAGTGATCATTTTGTGTTCCAAGTTTGTGAGTGAGTAAGAGAGGATAGTGTTGTAGTTAATTGTTTTTAATTTTTTTAATAATGTGCATCTGCGTAATTTATTTGCAACAAATTCGTAGTTTGCACTAGCTGTCTTTTCTTTCTGTTCACTGACCTTGACCAAAATGCCCCTAACTGACCAGACAAGTACGACTGTGGTGACATGTGGCTAAACATGATAAATGATTTGGAAGTTTAATAAATTACATCACCACCCTATATACTGTAAGCTTGTCTAAGACTAGATCAATTGCTCAGGGCTTTCGTAATCCTGCCAATCTGCAGAGGAAAGGTGAGACAATATAATTTGTGATTTAATGGTAATGTCACATGCTAGTCTTGACTATTAATTGGCTTATCACTGTTTGAGGCTTTTGTAAACCTGCAACATTTCTGCAGTTAAAAGATGGACAGATACATTTGTGTGATTGTGCTTTATTTTGATTCCATTATCCTTTCGTGTTTCGTATTCATATTTTGTAATTGTAGTTCAATTTTTAATAGAGTTGAAATTAGTTTAATGAATGAAATATTTAAATATTCACCCAGGGTTATAGATGCAGTTACCAGTGCAGGCAGTACGACGCATACAACTGACAGATAGTCAGGTCACTTCATAATTTAAATGAAGATTTGTCTCTGCGATATTGGTTAACTGAACAAACCATGTGCATATAGATACAAAGTTTGTTTTATTAAAATACTGTAACTATTTATTGTTGTTCTCACTACCACGAGTCAGATTGGGAAGACACCTACTAACTATTGACTATATACTTGCGACATTTTGAGGTATGACACGGTACTTATACTTTTGACCGGCGCATTATGAAACATATAAAATACTAGTGAATAATTGATAGGTATTAAGTCAATGATGGGTGACTTATGTTTGGATTTGTTTTAAAGGAATTTGCTTATTGTATTGTCGAAATAGAAATAGATTTGTATTAGCTGTTAATTGACCATAATTGCTGTTACATTCTGATTCTTACGTTGCTTTTGAGTGACAAATTTGAAAATATTTGTTTGAGGTTTAATTGATTTTGATTCATTATTTAAAGGTTTTATGATTATACGAATATTTGATTAATAACGGGATAGGTATATGATTGTACTGCATTTCCATGTTCCTATTATAGGCCTAGTCGCATGGACTTACTTTCATTACCTTGAGCGCACCCGTTGCTTTCATATTTCATATATCTATGCTTGAAGGGTGATCATAATCACAACATCATACTTACGGAAATTAAGTATCAAACTCATTTGGATACAAAGTAACAATTTGTTTGAGTTCTTTATTCATTGGATTTTTGCTCATTCATTGGTTAGTGTAGTTGATTTGAAAGAAAAGAATAAGGAGCATACATTTTATTTGAGATAACCTCGATAATGTTGCATTAAGGTTAGTTCTCATTTGTTTGATTTGCATAATAGTCTCCATTATTTTTGTTTTACTATATGTGTTTAGTATAGACTCAGTGTTTAAGTATTGTTAATATCATAAGTGTATTCAGTTTGTGCTTCTAGTCTGTGTTAGAATATTAGTGATTTCCATGTATTCAATTTGTAGCTGTGTGTGAGAGAGATTTAAGAGGAATTGGAACAATAATCACATGTTTCGCTTATCAGTTTTTACTTTTCATTAATTAATTAATATGTGTATAATTTTAAGATGTCCCCCTTTTTCTTCCTCTACTATTTTTGAAAAGAGGGAGAGGAGCCTTATTTTCCAAAGAAAGGGGATGTTATGTAAAGGTATTACAAATCTACTCCCCCTCAGTAATAATATGTAATATCACTCAGTATGCCCCAATACAGATAAGACCCAACCTGCGAAATACCAGACCTCCTTCCAAGACATTGTTTAATAACTTATTCCAGCTAAATAAACCACGAATTGTGTACATTTTCTAAAGTGCCCCTAAACCACCAAACCAAAAGACTTCCTGTCTTTCTCCCAATAACCAAAGCCCCCTTTTGTTGATAAGATCCTTTCCCAGAACAGTGTTAGCTAGAATTGACTTGTCTTTGTCCCTTTGACACAATGTAACCTAGCCTCATATTCCTTGTGTCCTCCTGTATAATTATGAGAGCTTCTGGCTTTCTGGGGGGAGAGTTCAGTTTTGATCACCATTAGATCAAGACCCTCTTTCTAGCTGGCTCTCTCTTCATCTAGTGTTTTATATATGCAGTTCATAATGATGTGACGGATTTGATTCTCCAAAGTTTGGAGATAATAAATACTCTCATATAGCTCCGGAATTACAAGTCTCTCCTTGCTTCTTTATATTTATGTACCTCTCCTACTGCCAATAACTCAATAGACCGATCCCAACACGACAATACTTTAATAGAGAATTTCGTATGGTAGTATAGGCATATAATCATAATCATCTAGACACAATCCTAATCAATCAATTCAACATATTATTTATACTTCCTCCAGCCATTCATCCTTTTTAATAACAAGCGGAGGGCCAAATCACATGTTTATACCAATAAATGGAACTGAGATTATAGTAGGCCTATATCGAAAACACTCTGGCCCTCTGCTTATATACTATAGTATCCATTCGATCATTCAAGTATCATATAAATATTTTTTTTTTACAAAGTAATCGAAAACAGGATTTTACATAGGCCTATGAGAAGTTGGATGAAACATCGCTTTTCTTGGTCCTAAATTTATCATAATGTTGATTGTTGATAATGTATTCTAGAACACTCTCCATTACTAGGATAAGCAAAGTAATATTACTATATAAATAAAAGAAAGCATTAATTAAAAGCAACGTGTCATGGTACAGCAATTCCTCGGAACAGTTACTTTTTAGCCTTATTTGTCTCGAAAATATGATAATCATTTTCATTCGATGTCTATACCGACTTCGTAAACATTTTTGGAATATCCATTAATTTCTCGGGCATGCGAGCTGAGCGTGTTTCTATTTTGGTATCGCGCGCCACCCGCCAAGAGTTGCCTCGCGAACACCTCCGAAGTTTATGCCAACACGGCACTTTAGAGCCAATCAAAACTTAGCTTCCTGACCTCGCGCGTTTCCTTTTACCTAGAATGAAACAACATATCTGATTGGGTTGAAAGGACACACCTCCAGTTTCCCATTCACTGATTGGTCAAACATCACTTAACCTGTCGCAGGGGGAATTACGGGCACTTCCGGTTGGGTCACGGTACACGTCATGACTGTCTGCTCCACGTCAACTTTGGCGAGTTCTGCAGAAAATTTGATAAACTACATTTGAAATTCACCGAGCTTGCAGCTGGACTGAAAGCCCGTTCCCGCAGACAACCCAAGAGAATCTCCTGCTGGACAGTCGTAGTGAAAAGAACTACAATTAGTTATATATCTTTCTTTGTTTTTGTGATTTTGTAACCGTCCAAGATGAAAAACTCGCTGATTGTGTGCATGTACCTGGCGCTGTTGATCGCCGTAACTCTGGCCAAGCCCGCCGACAAGGGCAGGGTGAAAGAAGAGGTGAAGCTGAGCGACGAAGAACATTTTGAAGGAAACGAACACAATCCTGAGTATGACCATGATGCTTTCCTAGGGCACGAAGACGCAAAGACATTCGATAATCTCAGCCCAGAAGAGAGCAGAGAAAGGCTCGGGTAAGAAACAAAAAATTGTTATCTTCTGTAAGTTCTGATCTTTCTGAGACCAGATCGAGAAATAAAAGAACATCAAAACATGCCAAAAGCAAAAGTCAAAAAAGGAAAAAATAAGAATAAAATGAATGGATAAAGGAATAAATAACAATCAATCTCTTGATTACTCTGATTTACAGTGAATGTTAAGCATTATTTTGTGTACTATTATTACAAATACGTATTGAGCCCTGCATGGCCCTTGATAATCTTGAACAATGAAAGATGTTATTCAAGTAATTACTTAAATATCATTTTAATGAAAGTGAAAGTACTGGAAAAGTGCAGAGATCCGCAGTCAAGTTCCAGGTCTATCTGTCATTAAATTTCCATCTTCTCTCATAAAATGATCTGATGACTTGTGTACATGTGTCTGTGTCAGTATGCATATAATGTGCACGTTGCTTCAATTCGTCGCTGTTTTCACGAAGTGACGGTAGAGAAAAAAAATTGCATTCACTTTGCGTTACGATTTTCCTCACTACCGTCACTTCGTGAAAATAGGGACGAATTGATGACTCCTAATGCTACTTTGCTAGTCTTGAGAAAAATGTATCAGTTAATGTCCTAAATCAAAGAAATTAACAATAAGTCAATAACAGATCAGTCTTTTGCAGAGCTGAACTGCTGAAGTCAGATTGTGTTGATAACTTGATATATTGTATACATTTCACCTGTTACATTAAATAATTCAAATATACTTTCAATTCCAGGGACTTCTTGGTAAGATATCTGCTGCAAAAGTGCAAAGCAATTGGTTGTGACTTTAATTGCAATCCTTGTTGGAGAGTTTTATGAGCACAAGTTAGATAGAATCTTAGCTTTATCTCAGTTCATTCCATAAAGGCTCAAACAGGAGTCATTTAATGATTAAAATAAACAAGATTAGGGCATAGAAATCAAGTTTCCGAGCTGAGAGTTGAAAAGGCTTACCTCTGTTAAGCTACAGATGTCTTTTGAGCTGCGCATAGTTCTTTGTGGGCCTGTTATTGAGTCACTATACACCTGCACAGCTACTACATCCATACAGAAGAAGTAACAAAGAAGTAGAAGAAGAAGAAGAAGAAGAAGAAGAAGAAGAAGAGGGCTACAGTGACTCAGTCATATCCCATTTCTATAGTTTAATTGGTGTTAATCTATGGGGCCCCCAACGGATAAACAAACTATACCATTGGCCTGTGCATGTGTCGTTCCATTAATCCAGGCTACTTTTGTAGGAGCATTTGGTCAGATAACAAGCAAAATGTATTTAAAATCACAAACACATTACCTCTTTCATGTTAATTTCAGCTGTAGATGATTGATAACATTGTTTGCACTTCATTATTTTCAAAGAATTTCTTTCTTTGCAGGAAAATCGTTGAGAAGATCGATGCTGACAAGGATGGGTTTGTCACAGAAGAAGAATTGAAAGACTGGATTCTGTTACAACAGGTAAATATCTACTTGAGACAATGTCTGTGATATTATTAGTACATGCAGGGGAGATCAATAGTTTTTACATCACTTCTTTGAGCCTCGTCATTGACACTACTGTTCTTCCAAAAAGCAGTCAGTATCTCTGTAGCAAAATAAAAGCAAAGTCACTTTTTGCTGATCAAGTCATACCTTTTTTTTTTCTACAGGCAAAAAAAGGATATTTTCATGCAGGCAAAAAAAGTATTTTCCTGCATTTACATTTGTACTGTGAATTTGGTAAACTTTTCCGCCTTTGCTCCACAACATACCTTTTTTTCTTATATAATTTTGCTAAATTTGCAGCAAATAGAGATAGGGTTTTCAAGGAATATAATTTTGGAGGGGGGTGGGGAATCTGGAAGAAGAGAGAAGCAGAACAACAATATTACATCAAAGAGGAACTGGAAGAAAAAGAAGATGAAGATAAAATGAGAGAGAAAGATGGAATAAAATTTGGTATAAATTGTTGACAATATTATTTGCATGAGTGAACATTGGCACCATACTATACATGTACTTGTGCATTAAACTTGGATGAATGTATCAGACCTACATGTACATTTACATGCTTTTAATATTCATGACTAAATAGTGATTTTGACTACTCTATACATGTTATACTATTTTTCAAACATAACAGGGATTTCTCTCTTTTAACAACTAATAACATTTAGTAAATGGATGTTAACCCCAGCCCCCCCCCCCCACTCCGGGGTCAGAATGACTGCATGCGTGTTACCAAAATATCCGGTAAAGGGGTACTTTTCGTGCGGCAAAGTCTGGCCCGAGAATTGTAAAAAAAAGGGGTGTATTTGACTTTTCACCCGGAGATTTCTTTAAAAAGTGGGGTGTTTTTCTTTTTTCTCTCATCTCTTTGGACTCCTGAGAAATTATTCTGAATTTAGGGGGGTACAATGAGCATTTTTCCCGTATTTAGGGGGGTCTCCAAGGCCGGAAAAGGCCGCGAAAGGGGGTTCGGAAATGTTGGCAGTCCTCAGATAGGGGGTGCTTTCAAAAAGAGGGAACAAGCATACGCGTACCCTAAATAACACTGAGTGGGGGGGGGGGGGGGGGGCCGGGATGTTAACTACCTGGTTTGAATAGTTCATATCAAATAAGCGCATATTAAAAAAGTTATGGGCATTTAAAATGCTATTGACCTTTTTAATACTAAAGTGGGTGGCCGTGTTTAGCAGATTAGCATGAGCTTAAACAAAGGAAATGATGACCTCAGCTGAAAATACAAGAGAAAACAAAAGGCTTACTGACACAGGAAGTACCGTATGTCTGGTGATAATCAACCTGTGGGGTTAGCCTGGCATCCAGGATAATTTGACATTTAATCCTCTCAATAACAAGCCAGTTTATTTTGACAGAATGCATCAACTAGAGATGACAAACAAAATTGCAAAGATGTTCCAGATATATTCAAGAAATTAGGATGCACGTACATACCCTGGCCACATGTAACTAGAGCATCTAATTCTTGCAGTGAAATGTGCAGCAACTGCAAATTCTAAATTTTAAAATGAAAATTGCATTTTAATCTGAAGTTCTGAACATGATTTTTCTATGGGTTGTACAATGGCATATTAACATTTCTGAAAGTCTAAGATTGTGTCAAGACTGGGCTGCAGTTAGGGGGGTATAGTTTCCATCGTCCAGACTTGACTAAATTTGCTTTCTGTGGGAAGGGAGATGGGGGAGGGGCATGTTATTATTATGCCTTGATCGAGCTAAATTTTTGCTGCTTTTGAAAGCATGTTTCCCCTTAATTTTTTCCAGACAGTGCTTTGTTTTGATTTCTTGCTGTGTAACCAGCTGTTTGTATTCCATCATCATATTTGTTCAGTTTAAAGCCCCTAGTATAGAAATAGAATCCTATACCAGTAAACACTTGGCCATACCCTTTTGCAGTATGGTTAAATAGATGCCCCTCTTTTCAAGCAGAATTACCCTGCTCCCCCCTAAAAAAAACAATAGACAATATTCTAGTTCTGCAGGTTACTTATTTCATTGTATTATTTTATTGGTCTTATGGTCTTTGTCACTGCCCCCCCCCCCAGTATTAGAGTTACCTAATACCATTTTGCCTCACCAACATTAGTTTCACTAATCAGATCATCCATGGAGCCATTTGTGGTGTGTCTTCTTTTTTTCTTGCCATTCTTGTCGCTCAGGAGAAACCAAATTGCCTCACGTCTGTTGTCTGGGTGAAAGGGAGGAGTCTGATTAAAGCTACTCTAATTTTTTTTAGAAGACTTTCCAAACCATACTCAAAATAGGGATTCTCTGTCTGGCATTATTGAAAAACAACACCCTCTTAAACAAATTAAAAGAATAGAATTTAGGAAGCAAAGAGCTTAATTTTTGTCTCGCCTGCGTAGCAAAAAGCGAGACATAGGCGCCGCTTTTCCGGTGACGGCGGCGGCGGCGACGGCGACGGCGACGGCGACGGCGTCAACATCAAAAACTTAACCTAAGGTTAAGTTTTTGAATTTTTGGTATAATTTTTAAAGTATAAGTTCTTAGTCAATGAAACTTTGACTATAGGGTAATCAAGTATCCCCAATCATGTGAGTAGAATTTCAGATCACAAAGTCAAGGTCAAAGGTCATTTCAGGTCAACAGACTTGGACTATGTTGTAGCATCATCATCGAAAACTTAACCTAAGGTTAAGTTTTTGAATTTTTGATATAATTTTGAAAGTATAAGTGCTTAGTCAATGAAACTTGGACTATAGGGTTATCAAGTCTCCCCAATCATGTGAGTAGAATTTCAGGTCACTAAGTTAAGGTCAAAGGCCATTTAAGGTCAACAAACTTAGACTTTGTTGTGGCATCATCATTAAGATTTTCAAAATGCTTCTTCTTCGTTATTTTTCAACCGATTTTGATTCTGATTGTTTCATATGATAGGGCTAGGAGGGGATTTAAAATTTCTACACAGAATCGTGAAATTCATTATCTATGCTAATTTATGCAAATTTATTCCAAATCACAAAAAAGGTTTCTTCTCCTTCATTTCTCGACCGATTTTGATTTGGTTTGCTTTATATCGTAGAGCTAACTTTGGTACACTAAACTTCTACACAGAATTTTGAAATTGTTCTCCATTAATTAATTATGGTAATTTATGCAAATTTATTCCAAAAATAACAAAAATTGCTTTTTTTCCCTCATCTCTTGACCGATTTTGCCTTATCTGGTAGAGCTTAATTTGGAACAATAAACTTCTACACAGAATTGTGAGATTTTGCTCCATTGATTATTTATGGTACTTTATGCAAATGAAATGAAATTATGTCCCTTCCAGGGCATCAAATTTCTATTTTTTGACCAGTTCAAAAGTGTACCACATAAAATTTACGATATTTGTTGTTGTGAGATGCGGATGAGCGCTACGTCATTGACGTTCTGGTTTATCATATTGAATTGCGTTATGCAGGCGAGACCGCCGAGAGCGTTTCCCTTGTTTGGAAATTGTAGCTATGATGAATATTAGTTTTATCTTTGAATTAAAATAAGGTTACTTCAGATCTTTTAATCCGGATGTTTAAGCGAGGGGACAAAAAATACCCTTTTAATTGACTTTTTGTTTAAAAAAAAGAAATGTTACTCTTTACCGGGTATATTGTTTTATAAGGGATTCGTCTAGGTCTTATAATCTAGAAGTATAAGTGAGGACAAAAATTACCCTTTGATTTACCTCTTCTCTGTTTAAAAAAATTAACGAAAATGGAAGTGAAATGTTGGGAATCGATGACCAGCATTATTTTAGATTTGAATTTAAATTTTTGTTTTGAAAAAATGGCTCACTTTTTGGTCTTGGACACGAATGAAAAATGACTCACTCCCTTGTTTTGCCCCTTTCTTTTATTCTTTTTCTGCAAATTACAGAGCCGATATATTTACGAGGATGTAGATCGACAATGGAAAGGGCACAATGTAGACGGAGATCCTAAAATAACCTGGCAAGAATACAATCAGACCACTTACAGCGGCTTAACCGGTGAGACCCCCACCACAAAACGCTCTCATTAACAATAACTTACTTAACATTCATCTTGCTTGGTGCAGTTACTAACATCAAATACAAGGTGTGGGACAGTAGGAGTTTACTTGTAGAACTTCTGATGCTCCCTCCCCTCAAACATGATTAAATGCAATTGTGGACGATTATTTTTGTGCAAGACTGTGTGATTCAAATGGAAATATTCTCCCTTGATTGATGTAGACTCAAATCTTCTAACATGGCTTTTGTTCTTTTTACATAGCCAGCAAACCATGATAGAACATACATTTTTTCCAATATTATCTCCTTCTTTCATTTGCTTAACCCAAAACTCAATGTCCTGGAAGCGGATGGAAAGCATAAACATCCAAACTTATTTTCAGTTACTAGTAACCATGCAAATCTGACGATTCAGACTGACACTTTCACAAAACACTTGCACAAATTATTAAAAACAGTTGCATTCTGTCATAACACTAACAATCAGTCTTCGAACAAGACAAGTTATGAAGAAGTGTGTCCACTTTGCAGAGGCAAGCCATCGACAGGGATGTCGTGGAGCGCTGGGCTACTGTGGACTCGAATAAGGACCAAAAGGTTGAGTGGATCGAGTTCATGAGGGGAACCTATGGAGCTGATGAACAACAACTAGGTTAGAGACAGATGATTAAGAGAATAAAATGAATGGATGGATGGAAACATGAATGAGTGAGTGGATCAGTGGATGGATGGATGGTTTGATCACTGGGAGAATGAATGAATGAGTAGATTAATGGATGGATAAATGAATGAATAAATAATAAATAGCTAGATGGAGGGATGAATGAATGAATAAATAATAAATAGCTAGATGGAGGGATGAATGAATGAATGAATACATAGGTAGATGGATGAATGAATCAACAAATAAATAGCAAGATGGATGGATAGATGGATGAATAGCTAGATGGGCGAATGAATAAATGAAATGCTAGATGGGAGGATGGAGGGATGGATGGATCAATGAATTAATAAATAGATGGATGGATGAATGGATGAATGAATTAATGAATGAATAGCTAGATGAATGAATAGCTGGATGGATGAATAGCAAGATGGATGGATGAATGGATGGATCGATTAATGAATGAATAACAAAAATTCTTGTGACTTTTTTTTCTTCACAGGGACATTTACTGGTGTACGTTGTGAATGCCTAATCACTTTCTGAATTTTAATCTTGAGTGTAATGTTGTATCAGTGTTATAATCAAATTTGCCTAAAGGAGCCGTACAAACCAGTGCAAAAAAAATCTTTGTTGTTTTTAGTTATCATGTATAGTCTATGGCTATCTCTGAAGAGAACAAATCAATGGCTCTTTAAGTCCTCCAGAGACAAAATGTCCTTTACCACAGTGATACCAGTAGGTGCTTGTAAACACTGAGCAAGACATTGGCGCCATTTATATGTATCAATTGTCATTAGTCTCAAGAAAGAATAGAATAATTATTTTGGTATTGCCAAATTTCAAGAAGACTGATATTGGATGTCCAACATAACTTTGCTTTAAAACATATTTGTTGTCATTTGTTCTAATTGAGTGTTAGTTCATGTATGTACCTTTTTTTTTGTAATGCAAAGCTAAAGGGGAAGTCCACAATGATATTAAGTATTTAATTTGGTCTTCTTTTAAAACTAACTTAAAGCCCCACTGCACTACCAGGCCTGATAAAAACCTGATTTAAATCGGTTTCCTGATTTTTTTCCTGATTTTTTTTTTCCTTCCCGATTAAAAAAAAAAAAAAAAATCCAGATTTTTTTTTTTTTTTTTTTTTTTTACCAGAATTTTTTTTTTTCTTCCCTATTTTATCCTGATTTTCCTGATTTTCCCCTTATTATCTCTATTCTACCCTATCTTGCGCTATCTTTTCCCCAATTTTCTTACTCGAAAGGGGGAAATGTTGTTAGATACCATTTTTTCCTCGCGAATCCTCTTCTTTTTTTTTACTCAAGGGGGGTGGGGGGGGGGGGGGGGCGTGCAAGGGGAAAACAAAAACCTAAATTTTTTTAGTGCTCACTTATAGCTACAAAATGTATTTGTGCCCTCTATATAGCAAACAATGCCTAATCCTTGACCATTGGTCCCCCATGATCCTTTTTTTCTGTTAATTGAGAGCTTATTTGAGGAGATAACCACCTGTCAGTTACCATGCAGGGAGGTCTAATCCCTCCTGGCCAAACTAGTGCCATGGGGTTTTTAAGAAAATGATTTAATGAAAGTGTTTTTCATTTTAAAAAACCCAACAAACACTTATCAAGTTTATCCTTATCTTTATTTTTAGAGGAGGAACTCTCCCGGATGCAAGAGAACCAGCACATGGACTTCAGCACCATGATCCGCCGCGACAAGAAGCGCTGGAAGGTCGCCGACATGGACAACGACGGTGACCTGACCTACGAGGAGTTCGTCGGCTTCCTCCACCCCGAGGAGAAAGGTCACATGAGGGAGATTGTCGTCGAGGAGACCATGGAGGATATCGATCAGAACGGAGACGGCTTTGTGGACATTGATGAGTACATTGGTAAGATTTGAGTGCTGTTCACATGTGGCGCGTTAAACCACTTTTAAAAACCCTTTATGCATGGGTAATTTAATGTGAAAATGAATGACTAGAAACAGTGTTGTAGGATTTATTAAAAAAAAATTGTGTGCAACAATGGCATACCTGCCAACTGTTCCGATTTAATCAGAATATTCTGATTTTTTTTCAGAATTCAAAATTTGTTTAAAGCCAAATTTGGAGTGCAACCTATCGAGCACCATCTAGGCATCTGTTGGGTTCAAGTTGGGTTAAACCAGAGCCCATCATTTCATTTTGTTTTGATAAGGGTACTGTCATGATAATGAATATGTATCAGATTATGCAAATGTGACACCTGTGACCTCAGGAGGTCAGATCGCATGTGCGCGATGTATATGCGATACGCGTGACTTGATACCGAGTGCGGGGAATAAACACCAGACTATGGTTTATGGAATTCAACTACTTTGTTAGTTTGTTTGCACTTAATATGTGACATTGGCGACGAGGATTAATGTTTCTTGGATGTTGAATCTGTGGCTACGAGCTGGAAAAGTTTCAACATGGCATTCGCTGGAGCGGAATTGTTAGCGCTTCGAGGAGTTCCACACTTCGATCCGACGGGTGGTGCAAGTATTGTCAGCGGCAAGTGGAAAGCTTGGCTTGAAGAGTTCGAGGCCTACGCCGATAGTCGCGGCCTGTTTCTGGACGGATGTACGCCGGCCCAGGAGGCGCAACGGAGAGCACTGTTGCTGTACACTGCGGGGCCTGTGGTAAGGGAGACTTTCAAAACACTTCCCAATAAAGGAGAGAGGAATGAGTATCAAAAAGCCACAGATGCCCTAAATGCTCATTATGTTGTCAAACCTAATGCTACGTTTCAAAGACATTTGTTCAGGAAAACAAAGCAGGAAGATGGTGAAACGGTTGCCCAATTTGTTACCAAATTACGACAGGTTGCTATTGGATGCAATTTTGTAGCTGGGGATGTAGAAAACCAAATTCTTGACCAAGTAGTTCAGTACTGCAGAGCTGATAAACTTCGCAGGAGAATGCTGGAGAAAGGAGGTGAGCTCAAGTTAAATGATGCATTGTCCATGGCTGCTGCTCTAGAAGCTGTTGAAGGTCAATTTAACTCCATGTCATTGAGAGAGAGAGAAAGGCCTAGAGCTGGTCAAGTGAATCAAGTATCATACGAGAATGACAGAAAAAAGAATTTGGAATGCTACCGATGTGGGAACAAAGGACATTTTGGGAAGGATGCATCATGTCCAGCCAAAGGAAAGATCTGTCGGAAATGTGGAGGCCAAAACCACTTTGCGACGATGTGCAAAAGTAAGGCCAAGAGCACAAGTGAGGCGAGAGGAAAATTCAGAGATGGGAAGTCCAGAGATGGAAAGAAGTATAAGAATAGAGTTCGCCAAGTGGAAGGTGAACCCGGACATGATAGTGATGATGACAACAGCCGTGGCCGTGATCAGAGGTACTATCAATTTGCTGTGAATGGTGATCATGAGAAAGTCCCAATAATCATTGGAGGTGTCACAGTCCCAGTGATAGTAGATTCGGGAAGTGATTGCAATGTAATAGATCAGATATTGTGGGAGAAACTGAAGAAGGACAAAATCATCTGCAAATCTACTAAGAGTACCAAGAGGCTTTATCCGTACACATCACAGATACCATTAACAACTGTTGGATGTTTCACAGCCACCGTAGAAGTTGGCAAGATGAAGTCGACTGCAGAGTTTGTTGTCATCAAAGAAAAGGGAGAACCTTTACTCAGCAAACATACGTCTAGAGAGCTGGGAGTGCTCCAGGTGGGAATTGTACATGTAAATGCGGTACAGAGTTATGCAGGTTTAAAGCATGAGTTTGAAGCAGTCTTCAAAGGAGTAGGGAAGTTGAAGGGCCGACAAGTTAGGTTAGCAGTGGATGAAACGGTGAAGCCAGTGGCCCAGCCTGTGCGAAGGACTCCATTTGGACTGAGAAAAAAGGTCGAAATGAAGATTGCGGAATTGATCGATCTCGACATCATTGAGCCAGTTGAACGCTCCACGCCATGGGTAAGCCCAGTTGTCATAGTTCCAAAGAGAAATGATGAAATCAGACTGTGTATCGATATGCGTAGAGTGAACGAAGCAATCATAAGAGAACGTCACCCCATTCCCACTATTGAGGAAGTCCTACAGGAGCTGTCGATTAGCAAGGTCTTTTCGAAAATAGACCTGAAGTGGGGGTACCACCAACTGGAGTTACATCCGGAGTCTAGAGAGGTGACAACCTTTGTCACTCATTGTGGGTTGTTCCGCTATAAGAGACTGTTGTTCGGAATCAATGCTGCTCCAGAGATTTATCAATATGAGATACACAGAGTGATAGCTGGGATAGAAGGAGCTGCGAACATATCAGATGACATCATTGTGCATGCATCGACCCAGAAAGAGCATGACAAGAGGTTGAAGCAGGTGCTTGGCAGACTGCGGGACGCAGGACTTACTGCAAATGCAGAAAAGTGTAAGTTTGGTGTCTCTGAGTTGGACTTCATGGGGCACAGACTGACTAGCGAGGGACTCAACCCAGGATTGGCCAAGGTGAAAGCAATTGCAGAGGCCCGTGAACCCCAGACTGCAACTGAGATGAGAAGTTTCTTGGGGCTAGTCAACTACTGCGCAAAGTTCATTCCGAACTTTGCTACATTGGCAGATCCACTGAGAAAGCTGACCAGAAAGGACACGCCATTTCAATTTGGTCATGAACAACAACAAGCGTTTAAGGCGCTGAAGGAAAGCTTAATGAGTGCAGAGACCCTGGGCTACTATGATCTAAATGCACCGACAAAGGTCATAGCGGATGCCAGTCCAGTTGGCTTAGGAGCAGTGCTGGTGCAGGTGCATGGTGATGGCCCGAGGATAGTAGCATATGCCAGCCGCTCGTTAAGTAACGTTGAAAGGAGATACTCTCAGACGGAAAAAGAAGCCCTTGGACTTGTGTGGGCTTGTGAAAGATTCCATGCGTACCTGTATGGAATAGAGTTTGATCTAGTGACTGATCACAAACCGCTTGAAGTCATTTATTCACCGAGATCTAAGCCATGTGCGAGAATACATGTAGAGCGGTGGGTTCTGAGGCTTCAACAGTACAAGTACAGGGTAGTCCACATCGCAGGAAAGTCCAACATAGCAGATCCATTGTCAAGATTGCTGAAGGATGATCACCCGAGAGAAACTTCTGTGTTGGAAACAGAAGCAGAGAGCTTTGTGCGTTTTGTGGCAGTCCAGTCAACGCCAGGTGCGGTGACAACGAAGGAAGTCGAAAGAGAATCTGAACATGATCCTGAACTCGAAGTTATCAGAGAGTGTATTCACAGTGGACAATGGGATGATTGTCCATACAAAGCATACATTCCCATCAAGGATGAACTCTGTATAATTGGTCAGTGTGTGCTGAGAGGTAGCAGATTGGTGATTCCACAGGCACAGAGGCCAAAGATGGTGTCATTAGCTCACGAAGGACACCTGGGCATTGTTGGCACCAAACAGAATTTGAGAACCAAGGTATGGTGGCCAGGATGTGAGAAAGATGCAGAGAAATTCGTCAAGACTTGTCATGGTTGCCAAATCACAAGCAGGGGTAATCCACCAGAACCAATTCGAAGTACTCTGTTGCCAACAGGACCTTGGGTGGATGTAGCTGTTGATTTCCTAGGACCACTTCCGACAGGAGAATCTATACTTGTGGTAGTTGATTATTATAGCAGATACTACGAGTATGCAATCATGAAATCAACCACTGCAGAGAAGACAGTCAAAGCCCTGGCTGAAATCTTTGGCAGACATGGGTTACCTGTGACGTTATACTCAGACAATGGACCCCAGTTCATCTCAGAAGTTTTCGCAGAGTACATGAACATTACAGGAATTCACCACCATCGGGTGACTCCTAAATGGCCCCAAGCCAACGGCGAGGTCGAAAGACAGAACCAGAGTATAGTGAAAAGGCTTAGAATTGCACAGGCAGAAGGCAAGGATTGGAAAGAGGCCTTGCTGACTTACGTCGCAGTCTACCGGGCTAGTACTCATTCGACAACGGGAAAAAGCCCGGCAGAAGTGTTGTTCGGGAGAAAGATCCGAACTAAACTACCACAAATCCAGGACATTAGTGAGGATCAGGAACTCAGAGACAGGGACCTCCAAATGAAAAGTGGTGCAAAACACTATGCAGATCTGAAGAGGGGAGCCGTACATTCTGACATAGTGCCAGGAGATAAGGTGATAGTAAGACGTGATGAAAGGAGGAAACTAGACACGCCATACTTTAGCCAGCCATACACAGTGACAGCAAGAACAGGAAGTATGGTAACTGTGAAATCTCCTGACGGAGTCCTGTATAATAGGAATGTATCAAGTGTAAAAAGATACATGTCCCGAGACACTCATAACGAAGCTGCCAATCCCGAGAGGACAGATGGCAATCCTGAGGCGGTGACCGGTATTCCTGAAGGGTCGGACGATAATCCTGAGGCGGAGACCAGTACTCCTGAGGCGGTGACCAGAGATCCAGACTCAGAGGCAGCGAGCAACACATCAGGCGGTGACCAGAGACATCAAGATGGTGATACCCAAGCAGAGACAACAAACACCAACGTTCCTATGGCAGCTAGTAGACCACAACGCCAGAGAAGATTCCCTAAGCGATATGATGATTTCGTGTGATTCCAGATCAATATGGTGGGAATGAGCTCTTTGTAAAATAGCGACAGTGATATCGGAAACTACATGTGCCAAGGAGAAATGTTTGGAAATCATTGGTTGAAGCCAAGTTATGATTTAAAGGGTGTACGCCTTGCGCTGCCCATATTTGTGAAATCGACATGTTGGAGAAATCACCATGGAAACCAAGCGTACGAGGAAGTTGTGTTATGTGCTAAAATAATAAGTTCTGATATATATATGTTTCAATCTTACACATACATTAATCAATGTAAAAGGGTGTACGCCGAACGCTGCCCTTATTGTATGTGATAGGTGTTGCGAAAAACACAAGTTTGAGTTGGAGCATCGATCAGTTTTCAAAAATGGATTCAATCATCGAAGAGAGTATTTCCAGAAACTTCAGTTTCAGCTAGTCGTATGAACGCTTGGAGATAACAGATGATTTACACAAACTCAAAACTAGAACTCAAATAGTATCCAGTGAACAGTTGAACTTTTATTTGGACCACAGACTAGATGCATGAAAGATATTGCATGAAAGATATTATATTGCATGTTATGTTTTATGTTGTTCAACAAAGTTGTTTGGAAGATAAAACATTTGGGAAAAGTTTATCGACCAGATAAATTTGTTGTTTGTTAGAAGTGTTCTTTAAAAAAAAAAAAAAAAGGAAGAAACAAAAGCAAATGCACCAAAGCATGTTTATTTCAGTAATTCACATATGGCTGAAACACAAGAACAAAAGAAATATTACAAGAATGTTCAGTGAAACTATAGTATAAAAATAGACCAGGATAAAGTTTCATTCTGGCAAAGGAGGGATGTCATGATAATGAATATGTATCAGATTATGCAAATGTGACACCTGTGACCTCAGGAGGTCAGATCGCATGTGCGCGATGTATATGCGATACGCGTGACTTGATACCGAGTGCGGGGAATAAACACCAGACTATGGTTTATGGAATTCAACTACTTTGTTAGTTTGTTTGCACTTAATATGTGACAGGTACAGATTTCTTATTTGCAAATGTTGGCGGATATGCAATGGCCCTATGTATACTTTGAATCATGGAATTATTAGTGCCTCGCTGTTAATCACTTTGGAAAGTGTCTCTTGAAACGATATACAGGGGCGGGAACGCTGTCGAAATGTTCAATAAACGGCCAGTTTTCTATTGAAAAAACAAAGATTGTAATCTCTCAGTTTGAAGTTTGAACTTGTTGCCAATTTAAGGATTGTAAAATTTAGGGTTCTGAATCAAAAGTTATTGGGTGGTATTCCGGTAGCATGTACTAAGTTAGCGCGTACTAAGTTAGTCCACACTTTTATGGAGTGCCTGTTGCAAACTCATTTACCCTGTACAGATTATTTTAATCCTTCAATGAAAAGTGTCCAACAAATTTATTTTGCAACGAAATGGGAAGAAAAGATAATATGAGTATGAACTGAATTTTAACAAGGTCTTTGATAGATTATTTTTGTCATGAATATTGAATGATGAAGATAAAACCTAGCATTCCATAGAAGTGTGAACTAAAATTCTTGTTTAGTCTAGACTTAGTCCCGGGTTAACTTATGAGAATACCACCCATTGAGCCAAACCACAGAATGTGGAGTGATTGTCACAAAAGGGTTAAATGAATGACAAGTCTTATAATTTTGGACGTACTATCTCTTCCAATAAGGCGACATGTGGCCCAAGAGTGAGCGCGAGAAGGGCGGTGCCGAGCCGGACTGGGTGCAGACCGAACGGGAACAGTTCTTTGCCTTCCGCGACAGGGACGGCGATCGCAAGATGGACCGGGAGGAGATCGGACAGTGGATCCTGCCCGAAGACTACGACCACGCACAGGCAGAGGCTCAGCATTTATTAATGGAATCAGATACTGATAATGTAAGTCTATTAACACCCCCAAGTCCCCCGTCTTACAAAGAGTTGATATCAATCCCAACTATGTACATAAGAGATAGGAGACTGCAAACTTGCGATTGGTTTGGATCAATCGTAAGTCTTTGTGAGAAGGGGGCCCTGTAAACTAGAAATCTTCATGTGCATGAAACAGAAGCATATTTCATGAGTGTTAATATTTTTAGGTTCCTAACAGTTTCATGCTATGAAATATGTGAATATTAAACAGACACATCAACAATATTATTTGAATTGGCAATATCTTGCCATGATTTTAAGTCACTGTCATTTTGAAATTAACAGAAGTTTCTGGTTTTAACTTTGAGGAAGCGATTCTTTGGAACAAAATAAATGCAGTTGTGAAACAAAATCTTAAAATTTGTAAATCAGTAGTAACTTTTTAAGAAAAGGCCAAGGCTCAGTATCTATTAGCAGATTCAGATTCTGATAGCGAGAGAATAAACCAACCAACAAATAACAAAAGTATTAAAGGAATGAAAATGACAAAAAACTGAAAAGAATTGAAATCATTGACAATGTGACCTCTTTGTAGTCATACAGATGTTTTTCTCTGTCTATCTCTCTCTCTGTCTATCACTCTGTCTCTCTCTGTCTATCACTCTGTATTTCTCTCTGTCTCTCCCTGTCTATCACTCTGTCTCTCTGTGTCTATCACTCTCTCTCACTCTGTCTCTCTCTGTCTATATCACTCTGTCTCTCTCTGTCTATCACTCTGTATTTCTCTCTGTCTCTCCCTGTCTATCACTCTGTCTCTATGTGTCTATCTCTCTCTCTCTCACTCTGTCTGTCTCTATCACTCTGTCTCTCTCTGTCTATCACTCTGTATTTCTCTCTGTCTGTCTCTGTCTATCACTCTGTCTCTCTCTGTCTATCATTCTGTATTTCTCTCAGTCTCTCCCTGTCTATCACTCTGTCTCTCTGTGTCGATCTCTCTCTCTCTCTCACTCTGTCTCTCTCTGTCTCTCTATCTCTCTCTCTCTTTCTCTATCACCCTGTCTCTCTCTGTGTCTATCACTCCCTCTCTCTGTCTCTCCCTGTCTATCACTTTGTCCCTCTCTCTGTCTCTCTCTGTCTATCACTCTGTCTCTCTGTCTCTCCCTGTCTATTACTCTGTCTCTCTCTCTCTCTCTCTCTGATTTCTTTAACAATTTACATCTGATTTTTCTCTTTTCAGGACAAGAAGTTGACCAAAGCTGAAATCCTGGACAAATACGACCTCTTCGTTGGCAGCCAGGCGACTGACTTCGGCGAAGCCCTGACTAGACATGACGAGTTTTAATGCTCTTTTAATCTTGCCTTTCAAGACGTATCTATGCATGTCAGAAAACAATGAAAGAACCCAGAGGTAATACTCCTCTTTCCTCAAAGGCTACACGTACGCCCCTCTGCCAGTAACGCCCAGGGAATGGAATCGATTGTGGCGCTAGGATTGGACTGTTGGTAAAAGGTATTAAGTGACATTTAACAAAAATTGTGCTCATCATTCGTTCTAAGGAACAGCTATGATGGATGACCCATCTCTTCATATTTCGTGACTTACACCCTTCTGCTTGTGACTACCATCAAAGGCATTGTGAGTTGTTACACCATTTACACATTGCAGACATAAGGGAGCAAGTGGAACATGCTTGGTTTTCATTTGTTCCCTACTGAAGATAACAATTTTGTTTAAATCATGGAAAGAAAATTGTGCAACACCTCCACTCTCGTGCCAGGAGACATCCATATTTTGTATTAATTGGAGAGAAATGCGAGATAATGAAATTCTACTTAAATAAAATCAACAAATTGGCAACATCGTGGAAACATCATGTGACCCAATCCTCACTTCAACCAGCATTTACTTTCATAGCACTGCTGCCTGTGAACAACAACATGTAGTATATATATTCAATTTTTTAAAGGTATATTCCTAGAAGTTGATGGGCTGTAAAGGGTTAAGGTTTACTGAGTTTTTCGCTGTCTGAAGTGAATGATGTGTACTGGTAAGAAACTATAAAAGCTGCAGTTCCTGTTGCTATGTGTGAATCAGGTTCTTTAAAAAGGTAGACAGCATCACAGAACATTGTACCAACTTGTGTTTGCCTTACTTATATGAATAGAGATATTGAGGAGGAGCGATTATCTTTGGATTCTTTCGAGTAGTTTATAATCATGTAGATAATACAGATGTGTATTTTTTAGAAAATTAACTAATTATAGAAATGTAATTGTGTGTCATCTCATCAAATTTGTGCTTTTGTAATAGAGATTAACTCATAGTAAATAATATGTGTAATTTTCAAGAAAAAATCATTGTATTAACACAGTAGCTCTTTGTGAGTCTTTGTAATGATGATTACTTTTATCAAGAACTTAGTGCTTTTTATAACACTATTGGATAAAACGTTTAATTGTAGAACATATCAGGATGATAATTTCCATCTTCAAAGATAATCATGCGTACCATAATTGAGCAATTATGAAGTACATTGGGTGTGTTTTTTCTTTCAATTGTTGCTTGCAAATGGTGTTTGAATCAAGGATTTGTAATGGCTCATTGGTCGAAACATTTGTCTTGTAACTGGGAGGTCCTTGGTTCAATGCCAAGTTGATATAATAATACTCATGCCTTTGCTAAGGCAGACAACCGCAAATATAAAGTCCATTTGATAACACCGGAAGATATAGTCTACTAGTTGCTTTTCTGCAAGCAGATTTTGGCTTTCTTATCAGTCAGATCAAGTGAAATATAAACATGAAAATCAACATCAGCAAGATTTTTTTTAGAAATCTCTTGATAGCTGCATTAACCCTTACTGTACTGGGCTATTTTGAGCACCCACTGACTGGGGGGGGGGGGGGGGGGGGGGGGGGGGGGGGCCTGGGAGGCCCCCCCCTATGATCTCGGCCGTCGATTGTCCGATGAACACGAAAATTTGCACGTTTGTAGATATTTACGTAAGGAACAAGATGGTATAATTAGTTTTTCCGAATATGCAAATTTTTGTCGTTAGCCTAATTAATTATGCAAAAATGCTAATTTTATGCATTTTACAGAAAACGTGTCAAACTCCACTTTTTGAATGTTGAAACTCATTATTCATATGAAACTTCTTTTTTAACTCAAAAAAGTTAATTTAATGTAATTAACAATGATAATTTATGCAAATTTTGATGCAATTTTTTTTTTTTTTTTTTTTTTTTTGATGACATGCGCATACTAATTGTTATGTAACGCCTTACAGGTATATCCGATTTCGACGAAAATGGTATCAAAATGTGCGTGAGACTTGAGAAAAAAAAGTCATGAAACGACAATTCAAAATTCCAAGCGGTTGCGGCGCAAACTCCGAAAATGTCGAGGGGGGGGCCTCCCAGGCCCCCCCCCAGTACAGTAAGGGTTAATAAAAAAAATCTGATTTATACTTTACAGTTTTGTATCTTTTTTATTTATTTTTGTTGCAGAACTTGTCATCTCTGGTATTCCTAAGCATCAGAGAAGTTTTGTTATTTGTTTTTGTCATAAAGTTATGTTTTATCGGTCTTAAGTGTTTATGCAAACAATACGTGTGCATATTGTTTTTATTTTTCTCTCTGTATAAAGTGAGTTATATTTTTGTTTTTCATTTTTGTATTGAAATTTTTGTTTGTACATGTATGTTTTACTAGTACTCTTTCATGATTTACTCTTCTGTTTTGGTTGGTCTTAGATTTATTTATAGTTTTTAGAAACACCACTCTGCCCTAACACTTTTTTTTCCAACTGTTCTGTGGACTTAATGTATAGATGTATTTGACAATCAATTTGCTTTACTTCTTAGTATACCTTACATGCATAGTAATTAACCATGCTTAATTACAAGTCATACAAGTATATATATGATATATCCTCATTATATACTATTGTAGCTGACATATTGATCTGACTTTAGGTTACTAATTTTCTCCCATAGAATTTCACCATCTATCTTCTCTTGTCCCTTTACTTTTCCTGATATATTTTAGTGGAATCGACGAGTACTCGACAAAAATGTCCGTCCAAAGATTTTTATTTTGCGTACTGACCCTAGAAATTAAGTTTTTTGGTGGAGGTATAGCACCCTACAGACAAAAATTATGTTTGTGTAGTCCCATCTGTCGAATACGATGTTTGGTTATTAGGACAATGAGGGTTACTTGTGACACACAGTGTTCAATTTTGTTTATTCTGTATCTTTTCACAACATATGATTCTGGTAACTACAGTGTATATTCTGACATAACAGAAATAAGCTTAAAAAATAATTTTGGGTGGTTTTGGAATAATACTGCACAGTGCACATACTTTGTTTTGGGAGAATGGCGACTAAAGAAAATTACGTTTGAACAAAAAAAAAAAGAAACTGCTCACTGATACAGATAGGGAAAAGAATAACAATCTAATAATATTGATAAATTATTTAAAAAATAGCTTCTGATTGGACATTTCCTATGCAAAAAACTTGCCAATATTTGATATATTTCATGTACATAAACGCCACTGTTGGAACCATTTTCAGACCAACAAATTGGCGATAGAAGGCCTATGAAAGAAACTCCCGAATTCTCATCATAACATACCAGGTCTGCTGAAGATGTAGTGATCAATAAAATGGTGCTGTTCCATGCATCCAAATTGTACTTAACTGTATTTCACTTTACAAAGAAACAATTTACCATAAAATTAGATTTGAGGTCTGCAAAGGGTTTTTGTTTTAATGTTTTGGTATTACTGCCTTTTAGCATTTTCATAAATGTTTTTGTGAATATTATTGAAATACATATATGCAAGGAAGAGGATTATGTTATGTGGATTTTGTGTTCTTTTTATTTCGTTAAAATATCTGTGATTTTTGACTTGTCAGCTAATTACATGTATGTAGAAAATCGAGGGCATTTTTTTCTTCTAGTTTTCCAAATAAATGTATTGATGGCAGCAGTGCTTCATACTAAAATGCTCAGAAACTCAAAGATGGAAAACAAAACAAAATCAAATCAAAACATATACAGGTACATGTACTTACATGTACATTGACATAGTGATGTATACCACTGCATACAGTCGTGTCAATGTGGGAGTTTTCCATTTACAGGATAATAGCTACCGGTAATAGGATGATTTGAATTTATTTGAAAATTTATGAAGAGTAACTTCATTCATTTGTAATTGTTTTATGATGAGTAACTTTCGGGTGCTATGTAATTGGGCAAAACATCTGGGGGTGGGGGGGGGGGGGGGACTGAAAGCTGGCATTTGATTGGGCAGTAGATATTGTTGTAATCTTTGTGCTATTATCAACTCAAGCATGTAACATAATGATATCGAGAATAAACTAATCATGTTTGAAGTGAAACATTTCATAAAATATGTCGTGTCTGATGAGTTTTTATTTGGCTTTGGGTTTCCTCGTTTGGTTCTCAACTACCAAAAAACAAGAGAAAATTCAGTTGTATTTTAACATACCAAGGGTTCAGTGACACAAAGACGTAACTCTATATTTTACCAAAATAATAATAATAATAATATTTAATTTTTATATAACGCTTAATAAAATGTCTCTAAGCGCTTTACAAATATTATACTAAATGAGTATTTGATATCAAAATGTTCAGAAAAATGTGGGATTTCCAGGAAACACAAAGACTTAACTCGACCCAACACCCCATTAAAGTCGATGGCTAGTGAAAGATAGACTTTACTCCCCAAGGCCCAAGTGCTCAGTGACACATAAAACCACTTTTTCTCAAAATGGAGTTACGCCTTTGTGTCACCGACTCCTCGATATGATGAAGAAAGAAAAAGAAACGGTGGTGATAAGTCAAAATTGACTGTTTGCCATAAAACACTAACCAACAACAACATGTCCCATTGGGTGGTTGTGTATCTGAAGGGTCTTTTCAGCCATCCCTTATCATATCTGTGAACAAAATACACGGGGGCTCGGGGCGAAGTAGCCCCTGAAAGTCTTAAAAGAGCCCCCCAAATTTGCATAGAGTTCAATGCAAAACGAATTAAAGAGAGTTATTTTCAGGCAAGCTTGAAAAGTAGCCCTCAAAATTGTATAAGTATTTTTCCCCTGCATGATATCACATGACTCACAAAATATATGGCATGGAGATATCCTGATGGTCATTCTTACATTGTTCATTTCATGGTGATTGCACAATAAGGGAAATCCCCTTGTGACTAAAATCCTGATGCTTTTTCAAGCTTCTGTTTCTCTAATACGCACTTCCTGCCTAAACAACAATGGATAGTGCCTAAACTCAAAGGTGATTACAAGCAGAAGCAGTTTCCTTTTGGGGGGAGGGGGAGGGGGGGGGGGGGTACTCAAGCCCCTCCCCTACATCTTCAGATTTACATTAACTCAGATTTTTTTAAAGCAACAGGAGAGTTTTTTAGACTGGAAAGAACATTATAAACTTACACAAATTTGTTGGAAGTCACGCTCCCTCTAAAGCAATGTACATATACATGTCCTTTTTAACCATGTGCCGGACATGTTTTATCCATAGTTTTGAACATTCAGCGACATATCCACTGGACTGACACCTCTACCGGGAGGGAGAGAGAGAGAGGGAAGGAGAGAGAGAGAGAGAGAGAGAGAGAGAGAGAGGGAGAAGGAGAAGTTGACCACAATAAAGACCATAGTGAAAATATCCTGAAATACATACTTTTGTATACATTTTTATTACATGATCCAATGATCTGGCAGTAATAACATTCACCAAAATGTTACTTTTGGATTCTCTTTTGAATTGTTCAACTGATATACAATCAATTTCCGCACTCATGAATAATGACTAAGATTTTTTAAATATCAATAGTCTCGAATGATAACAATTTGTAATACATCATGATTACAGAAAGTTCTAAGAACATTACATACAAAATACCATGAAAATAATGATATGCAGCAGGATATACAAGTGCTAATCTCCTTTACACAAAATTATATTAAGTTTTGAAAAAGTGTCTAAACAAAATCTGAACCTGCAGACTGACTACATATTTGTATTGAGCAAATGCAGTTTCTTTAAATCATTTTCTTACAAAACAATCCCAAAAATAGAGAGAATCAATAGTAAGGTATAGATGACCAATAGGCACCACAAGGCTAAATAATTTGATTACATTTTAAATTTAATTTAACAAAAATATCCTGTGATATAAAGAAATTACAAAATACTATCTTTTTTCCTACATAAATGGGCAAAATCTTTTTCTGCCTGTTAATCTGTTATCCCTTTAAAAAGGCCACTGCATTAAGCTGGATATATAAATTCAGGGCCCCGTCTTACGAAGAGTCGATATCAATCGCAACTACATGTATGTACATAAGAGATAGGAGACTGCATACTTGTGATTGATTGGAGGACTTGCAATTGATTTAGATCAATAGCAACTTTTTGGTAAGACGGGGCCCTGGTGGAAAGGAATATTTTTTTAGAAAAGACAAAATGATTTATTGCACACTATACTCAACACAATATTTGATAAAATAGGCAAAATATAACAAACGATGGTGTAACATCAAATTCACCTACAGTACATGACATGACAAAGCATTCAATTGTATTCATATGTTTGAAAGCTGTGGTTTTGAGCATTGTATGCCACACGAATGGACACATTTGAACAGCACTTTTCAGTTAAAAGTACACATACAAAACAGGAAATTAACTACGATAGTGCATATAGTACAGATACATAATCATGGGACAACAATTCTGGAGGCGATAATCTTTTTTAGTATAATAATTTTTTAACAAACAAATGTATTTCCTTTATAGAAAAGTTCTCTTATTTATGTAGTTACCGCCAAAATCTAATCATGAACCTGAAGACATATCTATTAATGCCACCAGTTAGCTATACAAGAATGGAAGACAAATTTATCGGCCAAGAATGGGCCTGCACATGTATAGTTGGGCCCAAACGTAAATAATACCCTTGAAAGAAAAACATGTTACTCATATTTTCACAACTGCACTCATTCCTATAAGAAGTCACATATATGTCTCAGACTGATTAGGGATATACAGTGGAACCTCATTTTAAAGAGCTCCGGTATAACGAGGTATCTGGTAATTATTTTATATGTATTTATTCATTTACATGTACATGCATGTATGCACCTTCAAATGTCCAAAAATGAATTTTATGTATTTCTTACATGACAATAAATGATCTTGATTCTTGAACAAGGTGATTTTGCTGGTCCGAGCTCTTTACATTCTTTTGTTTTTTTACCCTGATGTCAACATATTCCTTAGGGTCCAAAGGATCTTGTTATAACGGAGGTTCCACTGTATAAACTATAAACATTGAACAGAGACCAAACTTATCCATCTTCATGAAGTGGAAATTTGGCAAGAATGAGTGAACTTGTGATTATGTACATTCAGTGCTCCATACATGTACCAACTTTTTGGAAGGATGTCTGGATTGAACCTTATACAGTCTGTTTGCATGTGATGTATGCATGTAGTATCAATACTTCCAGTCTGAAAAGTCTGAGACCAATTGGGGTTCAGATTTACAGCATTCATCACCATTAGTTTTTTTTTTTACCCGACTGCTAAGAAAACATGTGTATGCATCAATTGTAAGTAAGCAACCAGAGGACTAACGGCTCTAAGCCCTCTTTGAGGGACTTGGTTATGAGGAATTTAAATGCTTTACCAAATTAGGGCATGAGCGCACTGAAATTGTTCTACCACTGAGCCATCGCGCTTCCCCTATGACATCATCATCAAACCAACCATCTTCTGAAGGCACGAGTCTGTAGGGCGTGGTAGAATCGCGATTCAACAGTAGTTCTCTGAGCTCTTGGAAGAACTCCGGTAGATGCTGATCCAGCAGCATTTCCAGGTTCCTTAAACGCCACTTGGGAAGAAGTACTATTATTTAGGCCAGTGGATAGGTCCTCAATTAGAACTTGTAGTTTGTCAACATAAGATTTATTTTCTGCCCCATAGACCATCTTGCTCCAACTGATGACACTTTCAGAGTCATCAAGGTTCTTGCGGTTTTCATCATCTACATGACCCTCTTGGTTATTCATCTCATCGATGAGATCGAAGAGGTCCTCATCGTTCACGACATCGCTATCATAGTCAATGCTGAGGTCATCGTAGAGCATGCAGGAATCATTATCACTCCCCTCGTCGTCTTCCTCATCAGAAACATCCTCCTCGTCATCATGACCTTGATCATCATCCGCATATGGCATGTACTCTTTGATCCCGAAGTATCTATCCTCCGAGTGCTCTTCAATCTTTTCCTCCATGTCTTCCTTGCATCCATCCGCTCCTGTCTTCTCTCCTTCATCACCTTCCTTCACTTCTTCTATCAGTCCAGTCTTCTCTCCATCCTTCTCTCCTTCCTTTCCTCCATCTATCTGTCCATCCTTTCCTACCTTCCCACTCCCTCTCTCATCTGCCTTCTCATCCCCCTTCTCCTCTTCCTTATTATCCACCTGCTTATCCGCAGGAGGATGCAGCCTTGCATACCTTGCGTTCACGGGGAACTGAAAGTCACCGATTCTTCCGCCCGCTATCGACTTTTCAACATCCCTCCCAAATTCTTCCATGTCCGTGGATGAGACCACGCCGCACAGGGGATCCTCCAAGTTCGGGTTGTAAATCAAGAACAGCAAGCCCTGGACGATATCCTGCATGCTGCTGTCTGACGTCCACATGTCAGGGTCAAAGAGATTGAGGCATATTTCGCCATCGGGATCTTGCATGGTGTCGATGTTGGGATGGTAGATGGCCGTCTTACAGTAGAATCTTGGGAGATCATCACAGGATTCCATCACAATCTGGGAAGAATAAAAAAACAATTCCTAGATTTGCAATGTCTTGGTAAGGTTTATGAAATCATCCATAAATTTCAGTAAAATGGTTTAACGGTAAGCAAATGACACTGCATTATCCATCTATGCAGTTATATATTCATAAATTATTCTGACAAAAAAGGGCGTCAACCCATGTCATTCAACAGACATAACTTGAGGCTCTCAATCGATATCCTACAACATTTTAATCATTTTCTTTCTTCATATATATCACATCGAGTCTGAGAGTCGGTGAGTAGTACAAATTGTCTACACAAAGTCCTTATAAGAAAGGGCTAAACACCACTAGTAGTTATTCTCTTAGCTTAGGTTATCATTATTTTAATGAGCATTTTACTTTTCCCACCAAAATTTCCTTGTTAGGATATAAATAATATAGATAGTTTATACAGGTTTAGGTAAATGATGTTGGTTAATATTTCACATTAAATGGCAGTGGTCTGAATTATGATTTAATCTAATATGATCAAAACTTCTGTACTCTCAGCTCTAGCTCAGTACCCTGTGCTGTGCTGTGCATGTGCAACATTTAAGACATTGATCCCCCGTCGCTCAGAGACTGTGGAATGGAGTCGGGCTAACTCGGATCAGGGGACAACTCGGCCCAGATGCAAAAACGGTCATTTTTTGCATGTTTAGGTTTAGGGTTAGGTTTAGGGTTAGGGTTAGGGTTAGGGTTAGGGTTAGAGTTAGGGTTAGAGTTAGGGTAAAATGACAAAAAATGTCCGTTTTTGTAGCTCGGCCGAGTTGTCCCCTGGTCCGAGTTAGCCCGGACCCTGTGGAACATAACCAACTCTGAACTTCTGAAGAAGTGAAAGAATTAAGATCAGCCTCTCCTTATAATCAAGATGATGATGATTAATAAACTTACCTCAAAAACAAACTCCCCTTCCCTAAAGAATCCATCATTTGGTGAGATGGTGACTTCAAAGGTCCCAACATTTTCGTCATCCCACTTAGTGACGGCAGCCTGGCCGTCAGAGAAGCTCTTGATGTTCTTCATCAAGTCATGAAAGTCTCTGGCAATGGTCCTTTCAGTCGCCATGTTGATTTGATCTTCAATTTAACTAACTCCAAGTTCAACAAGAAATGATTAAGTGGTAATTGCTTGATGTCACAATTATGTCATCAGAGAAAAATCTTGATGTCCAATTCAGACTGGAATTCACAATATAATCTGGAGATGCAGAAAAGAGCCTGGATGGATAATTAATTATGTCTGTGACTTTCAATCTCACTGTTGATATTGACTAGACTAATGCATTCAGCTACGAACTCAGCTCTCCAATGTTTCATTTCGCTTCAAATCAATACATATGATATATGATTATGATATATCTACCACTGGTATATCGGCATCGCTCTCTCTAACTGTGTTCTGTAGACTGTAGATCTACTGCACACAACATGACTGATTGTGATGGTGATCTATTCAAGTCCAATTGCACAATTAACAGTAGCCTGCGCCTGCCCCATAACTTTAGATGAAATTTTCAAATGATTGTTAATTTCTGACAGGCGACTATATATACCGGTACATAAAACTTGCAGAAATCCCGAGCCGAGCAAGAATGCGATTTCGACGTATTGCACCACCTTTGACCAAGACACGTAATAACACAAAAGTCCTTAATGATTGTGTACAGTTTGGCTGTGGCCAGGCACATACGTACATGTACTGGCCGTGGGTGCATGCATTGCAATAGTGCAGCAAGTATGCGGTTTACGTGTTTACTTCCGTGTTTATTTTCAATCGATTGCATCACACGCGCTGCCGGAATATTTATAAGCATTACGTATTTTGTATAGTCCTAGAATACAGACTCTATACTTTTAAAAGATTATTTTGGTGGGGAGGGTACCACGATTTATTCAGCATGACTGTAGTCTGTAGATAAATTACATGGATTTCCATAGACAACATATCTTGCTTTTAGACATCTCTTTCAAAAACATTAAAAAATGGAGCACTTAAATCAGGCAAATGTAGAAGACAGAGTTAGAGGTTATATTTCAACCCCTTCAACCCTAGTACAATGCCCATGAAATCACATTTACATAGGAAGTTACATTTCTTGTTACAGAGAAACTACTCAATTTAGAACCCAGCTTTGAAATAACATGTATCAACGTTTTACCGCTAACGAATATCAACACACATTTTAAATAAACGCATGGATCGTGTTTTAATGTCTGAATGTATAGACTAGGAAATGAATATTCATTATATTATTCAAAGCAGCTCTTCTAATGTTCTCCTATGTAACAGTTTCCCCCTCTTTTGTCAGAAAGTTCACTAAGACAATAAGTTTCTAATCAAAATGTATATACTTTCTCTGACAATAAGTAATTAATTTTATTTTGTACTTACAAAAATTAAATTAAATGATGGTAATGCGGCAATATTTGCAAAATAATTACATGTTTTGTAGAAATAGTAACCGGTTTAAGAGCAATCATCTTAAATTTATATATATTTCATAAATTGCATGTTGAATTAAGATCATACTTTTAGGGATCATTTCTATAGTATGTATCGTTCTCTTACGACACACTAGTGTCCCCACACCTAACCACGATGAAGAGTCGTAGCGTTTCCCTCTGAGCGCGAAGCGGACTTCGAGTGTTATCTTCTCGATAACTCGCTCGTTGTCATTGATGACCGTTCCTCTTCTTCCTTTGCGAGGAAGAGGAGGAGGGAAACGCATTCTGAGTGGTTAGTTTTTTATTGAACATGAAAAGTAAGGTACGAAACGTAAAGCTACCAACTAACTTGTACTCACAAGCAAGGAAGATCTAAGTAAACTTGATTACCTGACGAGCAAGACAGAAAATTGAACTTTTAAAGTCAAACCACAATGGGAACTTCAATTCTACGCCATAATTGTGATTTTAATTTTTACTCGTATACTAATAATATTTAAGATTTTAGTATAAGGCGCCAAATCCACTTGTCAGTCAAACGCTCAAGGCGCAGCTTGTGCAAAAGATGATATACATGATAAATATATACAAAGGTGCAATAGGAAAGGTACAGACATGAAAGGTAATGGTAATCAATTATAAGCTAAATTAAACAGATATAGGACTAGATGACTGGCATTTGACTAGCTCCTACTAGGAGCTAGCTATGGATTTGTTTTAAAAACCAGACTATTACAAATTTTACGATATGTTTGTGATTTGTGAGGTTTTTCCATTCATCACTAATCAGTATTAATTAGGCCTATATATAGCAGGGATATTGAACTCACATATCCCTGTTTATAGTAATAATCTAATCGGCCAATTTATATTTATACACATATTATTTAGATATATATATATAAACCTATTTGTTTTTCTTTTTGTTAATTTGTTTCCTTTTAATTTTATTTGACTAATACTAGCTCTAAACTTAGGCATGCTTGCTTGCTTGAGCATGAGGTTGAGCTTACACTGTAACTCCTTGATCCCGTCAAACTCTGACATGCCGCTGGAATTATAACATAAACAAAATACTGTTTGTTCGAACAGAGACTCATGTCCAAAACAAACAAAATCATGAACGATCAAAGTCACCCTCTCAACACCCAGTATTCTTTCAACCGTTCTGGAATTCGATTAAACGTCCCACGCACAAACCGAGCACGATTCCGCCAATCCTTCGTACCAAACTCTATCCACATGTTCAACCAATTCGTTAAGAGATAATAATAATAATAATAATAATAATAATAATAATAATAATAATAATATTATTAATAATAATAACAATAGCAATAATGATCATAATTATTTGAATTTATAAACTGTTATCATAAAGCTATTTCAAAGATATTTCTAATCATCTAATCAAGTTTAACAATTTTGGATGGCTTAAACAATTTTGTATTATTTATGTGAAATATGACGAGATCTTTTCTGTTCTGAAATTGTTTGCTTAATTGTTCATATGTTCATATTATTGTACTCTGTTTCTCGTATTATTGTATTGCTGGTGGAAAGCATATTTCCACATTGTAGACGAATAAACTCAAATCAATCAATCAATCAATCAATTAAACCAACTAGTACCAACACCTAGCTTTGCGATCACAAATGTGATCGATAGCAGGCAAACAAAGCTATTCTTTGACTTGGTGATTATTTTTGTCTGGATATTTATAGTAAGTTTGCCAATTAGAATAGATTTAGCTTGATAAATTAAGGGTACTGTACTCTTATTATTAATCTAAGCACTCCGTTTTAATGGCTTTGAGGCGTAAATAAGCGTTTGTGTGGGCCGAAACCAAGGTTTGAGCGCTAAAGCTAAAGTTAACACGAATTGCAAGGTGTGGGACCGCAGTGAGTGTTCTTCTTCTTGCCTCTGCTTCTTCTTCTTGCCTCTGCTTCTTCGTCTTCTACTATTCTAGTAATGCAAATGTTATTAGATCAGTTACTATTTTTAGTAGACTAAGTTCTTTTTTTATTATTTAGAGGATAATGCTGCATTTTTATCATTAAGACATTATTTTATATAAATGAACAGCTTGGAATAGACAAAAATGGCCGCCAGCAGAGATGACGAATATGAATGGAGGGAAGACTCGGATGAGGAAGAAGAGACCAAGCCCCCAGCTCCACCGGCCAAGATGGCGCATCTAGATGACCTCTATCTCTCATCCAGCGACGTTTCTTCTTCAGATGATGATGGAGATGGGATTGCTGCAAGGTCTCCTGGTCTTGATGATTCCAAAGATATCGGTCAGTCGGTCCTCATTTTGTCCCACATTTAGCACCAAAATCATTGAAACCTGTATATAAACACCATTCAAGCCCAAGGCCATATTTTTCAACAGATGGCCGTTGGTCTCTACATGTTACTACATTTAGTCGTAAAACCTCAGTTCACTTCAGTTCAGTTCATTTGATTTTTGCTCATCACCCACTTCAGCCAAAGACTGTTCTTCCGCAGCGTGCAGGTCCGTGCACAATAAAAATAGATGTACATGTACAATTATAAGCTAACAAACATACAAATATTGAGCTAACAAACAAATTGAATGAATGTTGTTTACACAAGTATATATTATTGCATGCGATTGGCTAAGTAGCTTCTAAACCACTGTAATGACAATAGGTTCAACTTCAAGCCAATAAGTCGTAGCTTACCGGTATTCTAAAGTACATTAACACCATTCAAGGCCATATTTGTTGACAGATGGTCTTTACATGTCACTACATTAAGCACCATAATCATAAAATACAGTGAAACCTGGATACAAACACCATTCAAATGATTCAAGACCATTTTTGTCAACAGATTGTCTTTACATAATGGTACTACATTTAACACCAACGTCATAAAATGCATTGATTTGAAACCTGTATATAAATACCATTCAAGGCTGTATTTGTCAACAGATGGTCTTTACATGTTAAATTAACAGGTATTTCATGGGGCTACTCCAACATATATTCTGGCGGTAATTTGCTTTTGGCTTTATTTCATCAAAGATAAATGGTAATAGCTGTACAATTTCCTACTTGGGATTTATACTTAGGATTAGGAATATCAGTCTTATTTGTGCATATATCTTGTTCATTTGTGCTTTACTAATGGGTAATCATTACTAATGACCCTTTTTCCCCCTTGCAGGAGAGCAAGACGAAGAGGATGATGAGCCACCAGTGAAGTGTTCCAAGACAGAGGAGGACGAGGATGACCTCTCCATCTTGTCCTCCCCGCCCCTCACTCCCCCGCCCCTCTCTCCTACCAGTAGCTTGTCACCGGGCGTGGTCTCCCAGGAGAACACTACTAGCCCCTCCACACCAAAAACTCAGGAAGAACAGGTGAGAAGGGTTACTCTCCGAATATATTTTCTGTCGTATCAGCACCCAGTTTTATAAAACTTGCTAAATTTCTATGACAAATTTGCTCTCGGCCAATCAAATGCCACAATTTCAGTAGCTTGTAACAGATATTGTAACTGGTTATTGATAATAAGCTTTATGAAATAGGGCCCAGAACTCATGATTAGTTTCAACTTTAATCCTATCTGATTTCTGAAAATTTGGTCTTCGCTAATCAAATGCCATGATTTCAGTAGCTTATAAAAGCTATTGTAACTTGTTATCGATAACAAGATTTATGAAATAGGGCCCAGAACTTATGATTGGTTTCAACTTTAATCCTATCTGATTTCTGAAAATTTGGTCTTGGCCAATCAAATGCCAGGATTTTAGTAGCTTATATAAGATATTGAAAACAAGTTTTATGAAACAGGCCCCAGAACTCATGATTAGTTTCAACTTACTTTCAGGAAACCTTGGATGATGACAGTGAAAAGGAAGATGACAGTGGAAAGGAAGAAGAAGAAGAGGATGAAAAGGAGAGAGAAGAAACACCCAAAACAAGAGCGAAAGAGGAAGAAGACGAGGATAGAGATGAAGAGTCGGGGGGCGTACAGCTGCCCCTCTTCAGCGGGATAGGGGGTAGCCTGGAGGACTCAATCAGCAGGCCTAGACTCCATGAGGAGGCAGGGCCATCGTCAAGGCAACGGAGTGAGCGTGAAGATGTCGCAGGGAGCAGTGCCGGTAAGTAATGACACTGTGTGGTCGTAAAGAATAGCGTGCTTTCGCAAAGATGACGGAAGGCAAAGACGACGGTAACACGAGCGAAAAAACAATCTGCGCATGCGCAAACCAGAATCTTTTCCGTCCTGTTGATTTTCACAACCGTACGCGGCCATTATAGCGTTCGTTCCCTAAACACGACGGAAGACTTTTATCCCGGTAATTCTCCCGTCGTGTTTGCAAAAGCGCTCTAATGATTCTATTAAGCCAGAATCTTGTGCAGCATGAAGCTTTTGCAAATTGTCATGGTTAACTCTTTTTTAGTGTGTGTCCATAAACTTCTTTGAATAACATAATGGTTGGCTTACAGTATGCAGTTTCGTCATGGCAACAGGATGAGGGTTAAGAGTCTGTGCAAGGAGTAGCACTTATGATATGTAAGTGTTAAAGGGGGTGCAGCATGGCAAATTTAACGCCATCTATAACTTATTTTAGACAACTGCACGTAAACGAATGGACTTGATTAACGGTCAGTATGCGCTAGCTTTTGCGAAACAGACCAAAGTTCTCATGTTTCGTTTTTCGTATATGTTGCACGCACATGAATACTGCGGTTGTGTCGTCCGTAGTCGTATTAATCCCAGATTGACCCCGATTCAGGCCACGGGAAAGACACATACCGGTAGTCTCATCATGCTACACCCCCTTTAATTTTCGCTGTTTTTTGGTGACAAGAAACTCTAGCAAATCGCAACATTTAGGGCTATGATTCTTCCAGCAGTTTTTATCCTTTTGAGTACAAGGGTGATATTCTTCAGGCTTTTCCCAGGGCAGGGGTTCACGAAACCATCTTAAGTACAAGTTCAATGACAACTCATTGAAATGTGCACATTAAATTTAACACAAACTTCAATGGGATGTCACCGAACTTGTACTTATGCTGGTTTTGTGAAACGATGCCCTGATATCTTTGTATGTCATCTTGTTGGTTCTGTATTTTAGGGGGCTTTTTTTTCAGGCCTACTGTTGAAAAGAATGTATGAGGCTTCAACATGTCTTGGTTTCTTGTCTAATTGAGTAATACCAATTCTTAACCATGTGAATAGTATTTTAAGAGGAAAACAGGAATTCCCTTGAGTGTTTGGAGCCCACAGATGTGGATGGCAAAATTTCAATTAAATTGTATCATAATGTGAAAGAGGGTGTTATTTAAGACACACTTCTGCAAGGGTTTTCAAAATAAATGTATTTGAAGTTGAATGTTGATGAAAGAATACAAAATTTAGGTTTTTTGCGTACAACAGAAAACCCAAATTATGTATTCTTTGATCAATATTCAGTCTTCAAACACATTTTTAAATTGTTTGATTTATCTATTTTTCTTTCTTTCTTTCTTTCTTTCTTTATTTTTATTTTATTTTTATTTTTTTATTAATTTTTCTTTTCTTTTTTATTTATTTATTTATTTATTTATTATTATTATTTTTTTTTTTGGGGGGGGGGGGGGTGAATCTTTGCAGAAGTGCGTCTAAAATGACATCCTTTATAAAATTATGATACAATTTAAATGAAATTTTGCCATCAAATCTGTATTCCACTTTAAAAAATAAATCAAAAAATCAACAAAAAAAGTTTAAAACCCCCCCCCCCCCCAAAAAAAAAAAAAAAATCATCCTGTTACTACAGAAGCTAGCCAAGGAGAAATTGTTAGGGATACAGGAAACATTATACATGTTCCAATACCATTCATACACTTGCTTGATGCTCACATGATATCTATATGCAATTAATTATTAGCCAAGTACTCTGTATTCCACTTTAATAAATAAATAAATAAATACCGGTAAATAAAAATAAATTAAAAAAATTATTAAAAAAATTAAAAAAAAAAAAAAAAAACAAAACAAAAACAAAAAAAAAAAAAAAAAAAAAATCCATTTTGTGATCCTGTTACTACAGAAGCTAGCCAAGGTGAATCAAGCAGCGCTGCTAGGGATACAGGACAGACGGAGAGAGACACTCCGGGAGGTTCCAAGGGACCTACGGAGCAGGCTCCATCGGCTCCAGTCGACCCAGCCAGGGAGGCCTACCGGAAGAGATTGAGACAGGATGCAGAGGAGAGACAAAAAATGCAGTAAGTTATTAATAGTTTAGGCCACCACCCACCTTAAAGGGATTGGGGAACTTTGTCTCAGATTCTGAAACAAAATTAAGCTCCTGCTGCAATGATAATTATGAACCTTTGGGTCAGTCAGGAACCCCATGACTTTTACAAGCTGATCGCCTGTCTGATTATCAATATATTTATGATTGGAATTCAAAATTTCATTTTTCGTTTTCCTATCGGTTTTTCTATTGGGGAAAATGAGTACAGTATGGTAAAACCGGTCACTCAAAGATTTGTACTTCTTTGAGGCACTTCATGATCATTTTGAAGCGCAAATTTTATAGGGCTTCAATATTACACCATATCACAGACACTAATAACATGTAGGACCTTGCATCTCAGATTTGATATTGTTAAACGATGCCTTTAAGCCTTGTATCGTCTCCAGTACAATGCGGTGAACCACTTTAAAAAAGGGGCTGCGGCCAAAGAAATTGTAGAGGTGTTGTTGTCTAGTGGATACGTCACTGTGGATCACAATCATCACATCACACAGCATTTGTGTCTTTTGGCAAGACATCAATCTACATTTGCCACACTCCACCTAGGTGAGGTAAATGGGTTCCCCGGTAGGAAGAAATTCCTTGCATGCTTGAGCGCCTTTTCATGGAAGCTCCGTTAAAGCCGGTGTAACAATAATTTTGCAGGGCCCTCAGCGAGAAACAGTATTAATACTGATGAGGCTACCCTAGGTGAAGAAGACATACTATCACTTTGATTGTTATTATTATTACATGAACTCAGTTTGCCTCATATTTGTGTATTTTAAAACTCACAGATAAACCAGTTCAGTAGTTTTAGGGGCCTGTGTTGTTCGCAACAACTTGTTTTACCTCTTCACTTACAGGAAGGCAATATAGATTTACTTACTTTTTTGTGGCAGTTGACCACACCATCTGGAAATTTCCACAAAGAATAGAAAGGAAGTATTATTTTATCTGCTTCTACCCCCATATTTGGCTACCGTCTTTGTTTTTTTTCTCTTCAGAATTCTTGTCTCAGCCTTCTCAGAGGAACAGCTCAACCGATACGAGATGTTCCGGCGATCTTCGTTCCCGAAAGCTGCCATCAAACGCTTCATGCAGTCAATTACCGGGAGCTCCGTGTCGCAGAACGTCGTCATAGCGATGTCAGGGATAGCCAAGGTTTACGTCGGAGAGATTGTTGAGCATGCTCTGGACGTCATGGAGCAATGGGGTGATGTACCCCCTCTACAGCCCAAACATATACGGGAAGCTGTAAGGAGAATGTCAAGCGAGGGAGGCACAGCGCATTACAAGAGGACTCGAGCCTTGTTTAGTTGATTACTGCTTTTGGAGCTTTATAACAATGCAGTAAAAGGGATGTACCCCCTCTACAGCCCAAAAATATACAGGAAGCTGTAAGGAGAATGCCAATTGAGGGCCACAGCGCATTACAAGAGGACTCGAGCCTTGTTTGGTTGATGACTAATGTTGGAGGTCTATGACACTGCAGCAACCCTCACTTGAACCCTTGGATATCTTGGAAGCTGTTAGGAGAATGTCCAGAGGACTTGGGCTGTCTTCGGTCGATAGCTATTGCGAAAGAGCTACCAAATATTGCAACATCTTGTAGCAGTTCGGGATGTACCCCCTCTACAGCCCAAACACATGCAGGAAACTGTAAAAAGAATGCGAGGACACACGGCACATTTCAAGAGGACTTTAGGTGTGTTTACATCAAGACCAAGTTGAAGATAATGCATGGAGCCATACAAATCATGACATTGTAATTATGACATCATGGAACAGTTAAAGGAGTAATTCACGCTCCATCCTAAGACTTGTGAGGAGAAATTAAGCCCATTTCCAGAGCATTCAAGATTCAATTACAGGTACATGTATACACATGCATTATGTACAAGGTAGGGGGGGGGGGAGAGAGTAATTAATTTTTAGAAATGTTATTAAAACATTGATTGTATGGTAATAAAATATGTATGAAATCTGATATTCAAGGCCTTATGTTTGATGACAATACATGTACTTGATTTTTATTACAGATCTGGTTTTCTTTACAGATTTATACTCTAAGAGTCTCTGATGATTATTCATCTAAATAAAATAGATGAAGAAATGTCATCAAGGAAAAAAATTGGTAAATTTCCTACCATACCATAGATTATTATTTTTTTGTTAACAATCTCCTCTATGCAATGAAACATGTGAATCCCACATTACTATCTGATGTGCAAGACCCTTTTTATGCCTCCGTTACGAAGTAGCCGGAGGCATTATGTTTTCGGGTTGTCCGTCCGTCCGTCCGTCCGTCCGTCCGTCCGTCCGTACGTCTGTACGTACGTCTGTACGTACGTCCCGTTCTCGTGATCACGTTATCTGAAGAACGGATCAATGGATTCCTACCAAACTTTGGTCATATATGTATCTAGCAAAGTCGATGAACTGATTAGATTTTGGGGTCACGAGGTCAAAGGTCAAAGGTCACAGGGCTCATTATGTATGCAAAAACAGCTCGTGATCGCGTTATCTGACGAACCGATGGATGGATTCCTGCCAAACTTTGGTCATGTATGTATCTTGTAGAGTCGATGAACTGATTAGATTTTGGGGTCACGAGGTCAAAGGTCAAAGGTCACAGGGCTCATTATGTATGCAAAACGGCTCGTGATCGCGTTATCTGAAGAACCGATAGATGGATTCCTGCCAAACTTTGGTCATGTATGTATCTTGCAGAGCCAATGAACTGATTAGATTTTGGGGTCACGAGGTCAAAGGTCAAAGGTCACAGGGCTCATTATGTATGCAAAAACAGCTTGTGATCGCGTTATCTCAAGAACCGATTGATGGATTCCTGCCAAACTTAGGTCATGTATGTTACTTGCAGAGCCGATGAACTTATTAGATTTTGGGTAACGAGGTCAAAGGTCAAAGGTCACAGCGCCCATTATGTATGCAAAAACAGCTTGTGATCGCGTTATCATTAGAACAGATTGATGGATTCCTGCCAAACTTAGATCATTTATGTATCTTGCAGAGCCAATGAACTGTGTAGATTCTTGGTTCATAAGGTCCAAGGTCATGGGCTCATTATGTTTGCAAAAATAGCTTGTGAACGCATTCTCATTAGAACTGACAGATGGATTACTATTTAACTCTGGATATCTTGCAGAGCCAATGAGCTGGGTAGATATTAGGATCATGAGGTCAAAGTTCAAAGGGTCATATATGTATATGAGAAATTGTTTGTAATCACGATATTCTGAGAACCTGTTAATGGATTACAATTGAACTTGAATTTGAAAAATTTCTTCTGTTTTGGATTGTAAAATTGCTCTATGACGGAGGCATCATTTTCGACTGCGCGCAGTCGAATTCCATCTAGTTTTCCTTTTAAAAATGATGCACATGTAGTATCATGTACATAGTTTTCTGTACAGATTTATGCTCTGATGATTATTCTTGTAAATATCTTTTAATAAATAAATGCTATCGAGAGAAAAATGAAAGGTAAATTGTTTAACATGTATGCCTATTTCCTATTGTCTTCATCAAAACAATTTACTAATAGGTACAATCTATTTCACTGGAGGAGGGGGAGGGGAGGGGTGCGAGTCTTTGTTTTTACATTCACGCCTTTCTTTGTACAAAAAGAATACCGTAGACAGCTTTTGCCCCCACCCCCATTTTTCTTTCTTTCTTCTTGTACAGTTGATGCTCTAAAAACATCCCATTAAAGGGATCCAGTAACTTTGTCTCAGATTCTGAAACAAAATCCTGGGTTTAGCTCATGCTGCAATGATAATTATAAACCTTTAGGTCAGTCAGGATCCACATGACTTTTACAAACCGTTGGCCTGTCTGATTATCAAGATATTTATGATTGGAAGTCGAAACCAAATTTTGTGTTTGCCAAACGGTTTTCATAAGACTACAGTATATTGGGGAAAACGAGTGTGGTAAAACCGGTCATTCAAGGATTATTACTTTTTTTTGAGGCACTTTCTGATCATTTTGAAGTGCAATTTGTTTAGGGAAGTTCAATATTATACCATATATTTCATATCACAGACACTGATAACACGTAGGGCCATGCATCTAGGGTTTAACATTGTTAAACGATGCCTTTAAAGGTCATTATTTTGAAGTTACCCGGTATTGCCTTGCTATTTTTTGGGAGACCTTTCTCCACATTAAAAAAAATGTTCTTGTTTATTTTATTTATTTGTATTTATTTATTTATTAGTCTTTTTTTTTTCAGTAGTTAAATACTGTTTTCTGTGGAGGCCCTACAACATAAATACAAAATTTACAAACATATTGATGTAAACAATCCAAATCGAAACATGTATGTTTAAATTATTGCTGATAGGCAATTGCAGAGGGAGTAACTGTGTATGTGTGTGTGTGTGTGTGTGAAGACAGAGAGAGAGAGTGTGTATGTGTGTGTATGAAAAGAGAGAGAGAGAGAGAGAGAGTGTGTATGTGTGTGTGTGTGTGTGTGTGTGTGTGAGACTGAGGGGGAGAGTGAACCATGAAACGTGAAAATGAAATATACAAGACTATATCAATCTTAATTGAATTGAGTTTACAAATGCATTTTCCATACATGCAGAACATTATGATGGGCAAAAGGGAATGGGGCAGAAGGAAAAGAAGCAAAAGGAGAAGCAGTAGTAGAAGAGCAAAAAGAAGACGCAGAAACAAAGGAAGAAAAAGAAGACGAAAAAGAAAAGAAGAAGAAGAAGATGAGCAGAAGCAGAAGAAGAAGAAGAAAAAAAGAAGAAGAAAAAGAAGAAGAGAAGCAACTGCCACTGTCATCACTTTTCTTTCTTTTCCTCTATAGAGATTATGTTGATTCATAAGCAAAAAATTAAATATCAAATGAGTGACATGGTCAATTCATTGCGATGTGATGTAATTTAGGGCAATTCGCTGTATTTTCTTACCCGCTCTCTCTCTCTCCTTCTCTCTTTGTCTGTCTCTATCTGTTCATTGTCTCTATATTCCCTGTCTCCCCGTCTCGTTCTCTCTCTTTCTCTTTCATCCTTTTTTAATCTTGTTTAAACACTTAACGTATGTGCCCACTAGAAGTAATTTGCATTATCCGGTTGTTTCGAACCATTACATGTAGTTAACATCAACCCTATCAATTCCATCATATCAACATTTCCAATTATTTCGAAATGCATTTAAATGCTTTCATTCTCCAACAAAAGAAGCTACAATAGCCATTATTTTAAAGTCAATAATAAAATCTTAGACAGTCTGTTATCGGTATGGGGTCGGTCTTGTACGGTTGGTGAGAGTGTGGGTATCACAGAGCAGTTACATTTCAAAACATCAAAAACACAAACATTACAAAATCAAACCATCAAAATTAAAACTTCTCTCTTTCTATTTTATTGATCTTGCCACTTTTTTCTTGTATCCGTACATGACACAAAAATAAATATTCTGGTATACACTCTAAGTCCTACTTTGAAACTATATATGGTCACCAGAACTTGCTAATACAGGTCAATGGAATGCATATAAATCGGATACAGCGTTTACTAGTCGTAGCAATAGTTATAAGAATTGAGGTTTAAATTGATATATGACACGATAGCAATTAATGACTTGCGAAAAATCAACTCAAGGGCTTTTTCAATTTCATAGCTATCACGTTCGGATAACATAATACTTCTTGGTAATGTTCGTGGAATGCGATCACCACTACTTCTGAAAAGTCAACACATGGGCGATTTTAATTTCAAAGTCCCATAGAAATCATGTTCGGTTACGTAATGCGTCACGGTATTACGTTCGTACATTTTGATAGGTGACGTTTAAGGCCATTGGAATTGATTCGGTTGATTTTGCGAAAGTGGTTGCGATCGTGTTATATTAAGGACTTTAGATTTGCACGACGAGAACGTGGATTGCTACATGTGACATCCTTTTAAGGCAATGTGACGTCCTTTTAAGGCACTGACGGTGCCCGGCAGTGCCTTAAAGATGTAACATGTAGCAGTCCACGTTCTCATCGTGCAAATCTAAAAGTCCCTTTTGACACTTGAATCTAATTATGATTCAATAATGAGCACGATCGCTAAGACGTTCAAGAAATTAACACGGGGGTAATTTCAAAACCCTATTGTATATCCCATAGAAACCTTCCTGAATTACGTTTCTGCAATACCTTATTGAGACCAGAGACTTGTGTCAATAAGGTATTGCGTTTCTGTAATACCTTATTGATACCAGAGACTTGTGTCAATAAGGTATTACGTTTCTGCAATACCTTATTGATACCAGAGACTTGTGTCAATAAGGTATTATGTTTCTGCAATACCTTATTTACACCAGAGACTTGTGTCAATAAGGAATTACGTTTCTGCAATACCTTATTGATACTAGAGATTTGTGTCAATAAGGTATTGCGTTTCTGCAATACCTTATTTACACCAGAGACTTGTGTCAATAAGGTATCACGTTTCTGCAATACCTTATTTATACCAGAGACTTGTGTCAATAAGGTATTATGTTTCTGTAATACCTTATTTACACCAGAGACTTGTGTCAATAAGGTATCACGTTTCTGCAATACCTTATTGATACCAGAGACTTGTGTCAATAAGGTATTACATTTCTGTAATACCTTATTAACACAAGTTTCTGGTGGAATGCTGGTGGTGCAATTGGTGGTTGACGGGGATATTGAAATTACCGTATGTCCTCATTTGTTTTCGAAAATCTCTGCAATCATGTTAACGCATAAAACATTCATTTATATTTTTTTTTAATTGACGGCATATTTATTTAGAGAAAATTATAGGAGAAAGTACAGATCAATATTGTGTTGACTTATGTTAAAGAGGGAAGCGAAAAGCAACTTCTTTCATAGCAATTGTTTGTGATGAAGGAACAAGCAACCGACTATTGTCACTGTCATCATTCATATACCTTCACAAGCAACTGTGAGTTTTCCTTTATACATGTAAAAAAAAAAAATCTCTATAAATTTAAAACAAGATATCAAAGTACACGATTTGTATGTTTATACATTATTTTTCGCCTTCGGTGATTACTAATGCAATTGTATCATGTTACTCACATATATTGTCTGTTGATTACCAAAAGGACTTTATCATCTAGTATTGTAATACAAAATTTATTCTCTTCAGTTTCTCAACACACTATATATTGAATAACAACACACCTATGTTTCAATGAAATAAGCCGTGGTCACGTGGTGTATGTTTTTTAAAAATGATGACATAAGTATACTACACTTTATATTTTTGTGTGGTATATAGTAACATAGATCTCAGTGAATACGTGTAGGACCCTTTTTGCGTGCACTTAATTGCCATTCATTCACAAATTCTTAATAAAAAAAAATTGTTGCAGTTTATTACTTTATATCTCTATATAAAAGATTCTTTCCAATCCATAGGCCTACTCTTGGTTATGTAAATATTCACAGGAGTTTCATGAAAATCAATCTCTCTAATATTAGTGAAGAAATGCATTATAAACTTAAATAGTGTGTGTTTAGGTTAATTAAAGCTCATCATTAGTTCTGCTTCTCTCTCTTTCTATCACCTTCACTACGAGAATTAGGCTTTTCCCCCTAAAGAATAAATCAACATACTTTTCAGTCTATTGTATGGTGTTACTTCAAACTATAAATTGGCATCCCTCCCCCATCATTAAAACCTTTAGAGAATATGCATTTTGAATTTTAACATCAACACAAAACATCTAATTTCACAATAAATAAAATAACAATAATGCTGAATCCAGGTCGCTTTCTTGTACAATATGTTGATATTCAGACAATTTCTTCAATAAAATGGACAAGATTTGGTGTAAACAATACAGATAAAATATTTAATGGAATGTGAAAGATTGCAGCCACTAGACCAATAATTGGTTAAATTATAATAAAAAACAACACTTTTTGGGAAATCCCAACTTTTTTAAAACCAATCTCTTAACAGGTTGTAAATTAATAAAATCGTCTCATTTCACAATGATCGTATTACATAGTATTTTTCATTCACCAGACTCTTGCACGATATATAACTATTAGATTCACAAAGCTTTTGGCATGGTTTTGTGTATGACCGCTTGTTGAGTGAATTTTAACAAAGTTGCCATGCTTAATCCATAATGTAATTTGAAGAATTTATGAGTCATGGATTTGCTTCTGTCTACCCTTCTTGGTTAAATTTCCCACTTTCCTTTTTTTTAATGAAACACAATTGCACATTGTAGAAATGGTACTTTACATTAATTATTTGCTTTCATAAAAAAAAGGATATCTGCTTTGGTTTGAAAAAAGGGGCTCTGACTGGCCAGTAGCGAAGGTAAACCTAATCCCAATATATATCAATAAAATAAGTTGCTCGGGGCATCACCATCGAATACAAGGAGAAAATATGCGGAAATTTGTTAATTTCGAATGGTACACGCCCTAATTTAAGCATGAAATTGTAATCGTGTGTCTTGCACTCATCAGTCTAAAGCACAAAAAATAAACAGAAATTGAAATCTGTTTAATTCTTGCATTTTTACTCTGATGAGTTCATGACCAAAAGCTCTCGGGATGTCTGTATTCAAAGAAATGTAGGTAAAACAGAATTTGATAATGATGTAAGCTGCAAATTTACTACAATAACATAACACAACTAAAAGACAAATCTCCATCCATCTTGATTAAGCCAAAAACAGAAATACATGAAACTCACAACTGAAGCATTGTGTTTGATAAAAGAGAGTACAGCATGGATAATGACTAAATTGTATGTGTAAGTTTAATAGTTTGTGGCAATTTCTCCTTCTGAGATGCTTAACAGATAATACACAGTGTTGGCAGAAGATGAGCAAGTCAAAATATACATTTCATTGATTCTATAACTGGTCGGATACACCGGTGAAAAATGAACTACACCAAAGCCTAAAAGCTCTGATTATAGAGTGTCTGCATTTTCAAGACATCACTTGTTAACATTTTTTTCAGATTTATCTGCCAAAAAATAATGTCTTTTGTTGCAGCTCACTAACAACTTCTTTTTACCCGAACTTACAAAACATTGGGCATAACAAGGTACGAGGTCATATTTTAAAAGAATGTCCTTCTGAGAAATATAGACCAACCTTTTGTCGTCCTCACAGAGCTCTTGCAGTTGTCCAATGAAAACTAATAATTTGTTTAATATTTCTCTTACATTCAATTGCTTTTCCTTTCTATTTCTGCTTTTCAAAAAGTATTATTACATCTTAGATAAATATATATATTTCAACCGGCAGGGCTTATGCTTTATAAGCGTAGTTTTTTTTTCTAAGGTCCTTCAATTAAACCGGAGTGTTGGCTCAGTCAGTAGAGCGTCCGCCTCACAACCGGCAGGTCGTGGGTTCGAACCCCGGCCGCGTCATACCAAAAGACGTTAAAAGATGGGAGTTGTTGCTACCTTGTTTGGCGTTCAACAATAAGGGATAGAGCAACGTCGATCTGGCGCTGCTCAGTGGCTGCCGAGTGGACTATTAGGCTATTATTATTATTATTATTTGCGAACAATTTAATGTTGCTGTTCATAATAGCCTTGTGCACAAAAATATTCTAAATATGTCAATGCATATTGAAACCTTTCTGTGTTTGTTGGGGTTTTTCTTTAACCGATATATAGTGGAATGAACTAGACAGAAACTGAAACTGAAATTGGGCCCCACTTCAAAAAACTTGTAATCAATATTACAAATCCCAACTCTTTGATAAAAAGGCTCTCAGCCAATTAAATTCAATGATTTCAGTAGCATATTGTAACTTGTTACTAATAACAAGTTTTAGGGAACAGGGCTCTGATCAACTAGATGCACCACAAAATAGATATTTCACCAAATTCTTCACATTGCCAAAATGCTGTGGATTACCTTTCTGAGATGTAAATTACTAAAACTCCCTACTTTAATTTCACAGTCATACGATATAGCACAGAGTATACACAAAAAATCAATCATTTTCATATATAAATTTATCTTATTTACAAAATTTCTTAAACATGATTGCGATCGATAATGCACAACCCCCTTCTTTCATTCAATGGCGCATCTCGCTAATTCTTATAAATATAGATAACAGATATATAACATTGGTCTATCAGGTATATTGCATACAACACGTCGAAATATTTGTGCTGCGAATCATTCTGGTACTAAAGATATTTATACTTATAAAGTATACATACATTTATATATATTTACAGATAAATAAGTCTATATTGGCTATTTTCTTTCTCTAGTCGGTTTGACGTAAAACTACACACTAGTTCATAAATGAAGTTTGTATTTACAATCGTATACAGCTGCTTTTTGTTCTCTCTACGTAAATTCTCGTTAAATTTACAAAGTCACCATCCCTGGAAATTCAAACCAGTTTTCCTTAAAGTGGACTAACGTTAAACCATTGTTTACATCATTACTCACTTTTAATCATGGTTCAAAACATGGTTTCAATAACTAGTTTTAAACCATGGTTTAACAACACAATTTATACCCTAATTCAAATAAAAGTGTGGCATAGACCATGATAATTATAATTTGAAGCTGTGGTAAACGCCTTTAGCGACAATCATTCCACATGTTTGGGTTTGGTTCAATAACTTTATTCAGAGCCCTAAAAATTATGTATTATACTCCACACCGAAATTCAGAGTGTTTTTTCAAACAAAGCAAAATTAAAGCTGTGCCGGGCCATCCAAATGTTCACTCTTCAAAGGTTTAGATTAGTCCACTTTTCAGAACTTGGTTCAAGTCACTTTAGCTAAATATCAATTAAAAAATCACCAAAGGTTCAGACAAGCATTAAATCATATCATGTAACACTGAATTAATACCCTTCTGGCTCTCCTCTTAAGTGATTACTCATTTGTTAAACTCAATATACATAAACTTAAAGACATGAAAATATTTAAATGGACTATCACAGACGCAAAATGATTTTATCTGTTCAGAGCCAGAAAATCGAAAAAGTCGAAGTGATCTTCCAGGATTGCCGATGATGACAACAATTTGCTGAAAAGAAAAGTAAGTTTACATCTACCTGAGACAAGGAAAAATAGGGAATCTTTTTTTATTTTTGAATTCTATCCTCAACATGTTATCATAAATGTAGTAATTGATAAATTATAAGTTTGAGTCATTATGCAACTAAATGCATTCATCCAACTAATTAATCAAGGACAAGTGTTTCCATATGAGCTTAATGAATCATTCTTTTACTTTGTCTTTTGTGGGTCACATCTATACCTTCCAAATCTGGCATTTTTCTTGAACACAGTATACATGGATGTATAAATTGTAAGATAAACTTAACAAATTATATGAAAAAGTTTTAAATTTGCCAAATTTGAGCTTGTAATATGCAATTTTCCAAAATAATGTCTGAAACTGCCCCCCCCCCTCTAAAAGTTTTTTTTTTTAATTCTAGAAGTGACAACAGAAAAAGTCAAAATATCTTGTACATTTTTTGCAATTTCTTTGCAGAGAATTTATGCAACAATATTTATGTAGGAAAAGTTTGAACTACCGGTGTCCCAAAATTATGATGATCCAATAAAAGAAATAAATTGAGTTTACATTGGAACAGCTGTTTAAAGCCAGAAAGGCATTGCCTCAATTTCTTTTAAATAGATATAAACATCACGTGGCTCCTACAGAATATTTCTGAACTTGAATGCTATACATTTGGTACTTTGAAACCATCTGTTTACAGCCAAAAGGGTGTTAACTTCGTGTTAAATGAGGTAAGTTAATGCCCTTCTGGCTCTAAACTAACAAAACAAGAAGTGCAGCAAAAATAGATACATTAAACCTAGACGAATGAATATAAAGAGGTCTGGGACTATGACATAACAAAATTGCTTCACAAAAGTCATATAGTCTGTTGAAAGCCAGAAGGGCGTTAAATCTATATAACAAGTATAATAATTAATGCCCTTCTGCTTGTCAATAGACGATATACAAATCATAAAATTAACATAAATTGCCTTAAATTTCAAATCAACTAATAAAGCATAGTCGGTCATCGAGCAGATGCACATCATGCTTCAAATCAAAGTTACAAGCAAGATATATTGTCTACTTTTATGGATAAATGAGTACATTCCTGACAAACATAAATACACATAATCAACTACCGGTACATACATAATCTGGCTAATGAATTTTACAATCACTTAAAATTGATTAAGTTTTATGTTTTTCATAAGAGATGTTCAAAAAATAAATATCTGTAACAAACTATATAGGTTAAAATAATAATACAGTAAGAGATTAAATAAAGCAACATTTATGTTCCTTAATGTGGCAATAATTAATGCAAATGAAAACTCTTCAAAAACCTATAATCAGACATTTCCAGACCAGAAATTAACATTTTTTCAAGGGAAATACGTAAGTTAATCCTAAAATAGATAATATATGTCAAAACCTTATAACTAACTCTTTTCCATATAGGAAATTTTTAATATTTTTAGACCAGGCTTCTGTCCTTGTAATTATTTTGGGTTAATTGACATTTTATTACATAATAAAACATAGCTACAAAAGAAAAATATATGCTTACCAGTTTTGCAAATTTGAAGATAAAATGCTAATCAATTTAGTAATTGAAACAAGGAAACAGTCTGTCCTGAGCAGGATTAATACATCCTTGTTGCCATAAATTCCTAAGAATAACAAACTCAGATGTCTTACTTCTGTATTATTTTCCTGTATTGATATTTTTCACGACAACTGTGAAATTTTATTAATTTGCTGCTTTCCCTTAAAATATAAATACACTTGATATGAATTCACTTCATAGCTGCAGCAACTGGTACCAGATGAAACAAGTAGAAAATCCAACTGGTTTCAACTGTTTTTTTAACCTGGGTAATAAAACTGCACTTGATCCCTAAATAAAACATGTAGATCACAAATAACAATGATGTAAATGCTTAAGTAAATAAAGCGTGGTAAAGCTAGTCGTGGTTGGTTCTGTACTAAACTGTCTGAATACGAGAGTCCGTCCGTCCGTTCGCCGAAGTGTAGTGGGAAGGGCGCCCTCTCACTCTGCCCCCGTGATGGATTCCCTTCGTGGCAGACATTTCTCGTAGAGGCAGAGGGCTTGATGGATGAATTCATACTGCTCGTTGGTCTGGATCATTCCTCCCCTGTTTCAGGACAAATTAAAAGATTGGAGGAAAAAAAGATATTACAATTATTATTCTTTATATACTGTCCTTTTACCAGAGCGGCCCAAAGCGCTAATACAACAAGAAGAATCCTACACAAATGAAAATGAAAACTTACAGAAACCTAAAAATCTGGATTACAAAAAAGAAATGTTTTAAGTCCATTTTGAATGAAGAGACAGATGGTGATTGCTCGAGTATTAAATGTAGCCTATTCCACTGGAGAATCATAGATTCCTGCGAGGGGTGGATATAGGGTCAAACAATCGCAAAAATCTTGGACAGTTGTAAGTGGAATCTGGGTTATTATAATTTCTCTTTTAAGCATCATCGTCATAATTTTATAAACATAAAGATGTTGATCATCATGATAATGGTAATGTCTACTATGGAGATGAATGCATTTTAATCTGATGCATAATCCTTTCAGAACAGGATTTAATTAAAAATGCTAAATTGATCACAAATTGTTCTTCAAATTGGCAACAAAATTATTTTTCTTTTATTGCTACATTGTTGTAATAAAATGTAATGTCTCTGTAAGCAACTGCATGGGTAGGAACTTAGTTACAAAGTTGAAAAATTGCCAACATTTAAAGAAATACAATGATTTTTAACCTTCTACTTTGTAAAATACCTGGCATCAAACACAATAAGGTCATGCCAAAAAGAAATGGATGCAGTATGTGCAGAAATTTATTTTATGGCCCTAAATCAAATGTTATAGCCAAACTGAAAAATGTGGTATATTTTTATAAGGTATATTTGTAAAGGGTATATTTGTATCAGGTTTATTTGTATATAAGGTATATTAGTATATTTGTATAAGGTATATTTGTATAAGGTATTGAAGTATATTTGTATAAGGTATATTTGTGTCCTTATGCTCACCTATCTTGCCTGATTTGGCACACAATACCCAGTATATCGACCATACTCTCTTCATCCATCTGCCTCATACCAAGTGTGATTGCGATATAACACCCAGTCCGACCAAGTCCAGCACTGCAAAACAAATGACATAGCAACATTCAAGATTCAAGATTTTTCATTTAACCATAACCATAAAACCATACAAAAATTATACAAATAACAATATATACTATGGAAAGGACCAAAATAAAAGCAAATGCTTGTGAGGAGAAGCCCTGAAAGACAGAAAAAAGAATATGTAAACAAAAACAAAGTAAAAGCAACATTATAAAAAATCCTTAAGCTATATATGAAAAATCCCCTATATAGCAATGACCCTGAATAACAATTATTCAGTATTATCTGCAAATGCTGTTTACCTGGAAGCATAATTTTGTATCCTAGGTTGCAACATACAGGTGAAGCTGCCCACTTAAATAAATCTTTAAAGACCAAGTCCTAGACATAAGACTAAGCCTACTTGCAGTGGACTAGAACCGGTCTTGAAAATGTTCAGTATCATAGATGGAATCCAATTTTTGACTATTTAGATCATACCCAAGTCTAAATAAGAGGACCAGGTCTACCTACCTGCAGTGGACTATGACGGGTCCTCTTGGAAGCGTTGGGTCTATCCTGCTGAACTCCACCTCACGTATCATCTCCAGCAGCGTGACAGGGTTCTCTGGAGGCTTATTGTCTGGCCATGCGGTGTACCAGTAATGCAAAACCTGACGACATTCGTTTAAGTACTAGGTGTAAGAAAAAGAAAAAGACAAAATGTACCATTTCTTTAAAGCCTGTCTGTACTAGTTTACAGGAGGGATTAGACCACCATGCAAGGTCACTGACAGGTGGTTATCTCATCAAATCAGCTCTCAGTTAACATAAGAAAAAGATGATCATCGGGGACCAATCATGGTCAACGATTAGACATGGTTTGCTATACAGAGGGCGCAAGTAGCTATAGGTAGTGCAGTAGGGCTTTAAATACTCCAATTTAAAAAAAATTGTAAGGTTTCAGTCACTGTCATTACTGTCAAAAGTTATGATTATTCTCCTCCTACTCCACATAATCATCATCAGAACCAACACTGGAGTCATATATCCTTACCATTTATGGAATATCTGTTGTCACTTAATCATTCATCTTTAACCACCACCATCATCAACATCATCATCACCACCATCGTCTTTAAAACCATCCTCTATATCATCAATATCATCTACCCAGGATACATTATTGGCCTGAATTCACAAAGGAGGTTTAAATTTAACCCATGGTTTAAACCCTCATTTACATAACCCATGGTTTAAAATAAGCACAAAATAAGCGCGACACAAGTCACAGGTCCAATATTAGACGCGCGCAAGGCAAGGTACGCCTCAATTTGCCCGATTTTAAACCATGGGTTATGTAAATGAGGGTTTAAACCATGGATTAGATTTAAACCTCCTTTGTGAATTCAGGCCATTATCTTTATCATCATCACAATCCTCATCAACACTACCAAAACATCCTCCTCCTCCCCCTCGTCATCAAGCTTACCTTCAATGTAAATATTTTAAGTATATAATCGTCTTTGGGCACTGTTTCTTCCACCGTCACATCAATATCTCCATAGAAACCCTGTCCCTGAGGCCAATACATCTCACATTTACTCTGGAACAAAAAGAAAAAACTCTCTAATCACACACTGCTCGTTACATTGAATAAGAATTATGTTTAAATCCTTCAGAGATATTACTAGATTTTGTGAGAACTGAATAAAAGTTCCATCACATCAGTGTAACTACAGAAGTCTGCAAATATTTGTATAATGCCATCATTTTTTAATAACGAATTTCTCTAAAGATCATTATCAGACACAATAAAATTTAAAAAAAGTCACAGATGTAAAAAGATGTTAACATATATATATATACTGACCAGGTAAGCATGTCCATTAAATAAGACTTTCTAGTGACGAATGACTATAGGCTCATAGATTCATTGCTTTCCGGGTGATATGTTTCATCAATTAAAAAAATCAAACCCAAACAACTTGCTCTAGAGGAAGCAGAATAATTAGGTAACCCAATAGTGAAAATTACAGGCAAGTATTAAACAATTTCTTGTTATATGGCAATTCATATTCTTGAGAATGGTGGACTTTGACCTATTTGTTTCTTACATTTAAAACGAATAATAATTAAATACCAGAGTAAGTTTTGTTTCATAGGTTGCACTGCATTTTCAAGAGACTATGAATGGAAGTGTGAAAATTGTGCTGATCTATGTAATATATATCTTAAAATAAGGATAAAAAGAACATACAGTATTATTTGAATACTTACTCTTTTCCTTTCTTTGATCTTGGTTACCATGACAATAACAGGTGCATTGGTAAACCAGATCATCCTCCAAAAGTCTGCCAGGGTGTGTGCCATTGGGCCTTGAGTGGCGACGAAGGCAGTGGGCTCTCGATCGTACCCCTTGAGGAAGAGTAACAAAAATATTTTTTAATTAATTAATTAATTAAAATATATTGATTGAGGGATTGTTTTATTGAGGGATTGTTTTATCGAGAGATAAGGTGATTGGTGAAGAGATATTGTTTTCTGTGAGTTTGGCATAATCTTCATCTTAATCTTAATCGCCACCACCCTCATTACCACCTCCACCACCAGCAATGGAATCATCGTAAGCACAATCAGCACGATCATCATGAACATTATCACTACCATTATCTACATCAACATCATCATCATCATTAGCACCTTCACCACAACCACCATCAAAGTCATCAAGAGCACCACCGTCACTATCAACATAATTTTCATCAAGATCATCATCATCATCATTACTACCACCACCACTACCCTCATTACTACCACCAAACACCCACAATCCTCTTCTTTCTCTTTCTCTCTCTAAACATGACCATTATCCTAACATCATCTTACCCTGATAATATTTGCATTGATGTAATCAGAGGATCTCCGCTGATTGGTGGAAGGGAGACTTTTGTCTGTGGGTTGGGGAGTATGGTGCTATACCGTTTTTTAGACCACCATCACTACTACCACCACCACCACCACCACCACCACCACCATCATCATCATCATCATTATCATCATCATCATCATCATCATCATCATAATTACTACTACTACCACCACCACCACCACCACCACCACCACCACTAGCATCATCATCATCACCATCATCACCATCAATACTACTACTACCACCACTACCACCCTTACCACCACCAAAACAACCACAATCCTCTTCTTTCTCATCGTACCCTGATAATATTTGCATTGATGTAGTCAGAGAGAGGATCTCAGCTGATTGGTGGAAGGGAGACTCTTGTCTGTGGACTGGGGAGGACGGTGCTATACCACCATCCCTATCATCATCATCATCATCATCATCACTACTACTACTACTACTACTACTACTACTACTACTACTACTACTACCACCACCACAACTACCACCATTACTACCTCCAAAACACCAACAATCATCATTACTACTAATACTACCACCACCACCACTACCAACATTCCCACCACCAAACCTTTTCTTGCTCCTCCTACTCTCTCTCTAAACATGACCATTATCCTATCATCATCTTACCCTGATAATATTTGCATTGATGTAGTCAGAGAGAGGATCTCAGCTGATTGGTGGAAGGGACACTCTGGTCTGTGGATTGGGAAGAATGGTGCTACACCACTATCACTATCATCATCATCTCATCATTACTACTACTACCACCACCACCACCACCAGCAAAACACCCATAATCCTCTTCTTTCTCCTCCTACTCTCTCTCTCTAAACATGACCATTATCCTAACATCATCTTACCCTGATAATATCTGCATTGATGTAGTCAGAGAGAGGATCTCCGCTGATTGGTGGAAGGGACACTCTGGTTTGTGGATTGGGGAGTATGGTGCTACACCACCATCACTATCATCATCATTACTACCACCACCACCACCACCATTACCACCACCACAACACCCATACTTCTCTTTCTCTCTCCTCCTTCTCTCTCTAAACATGACCATTATCCTAACATCATCTTACCCTGATAATATTTGCATTGATGTAGTCAGAGAGAGGATCTCCGCTGATTGGTGGAAGGGACACTCTTGTCTGTGGGTTGGGTAGTATGGTGCTATACCGGTTTTTAGCAGCTGAACCTGGAACCTCTACACTCTCAGGATGATTCATCGGAATGTCCTACAAGAACAAGGATTTTTAAAAATTTATTTCTGATATTTAGATAGGGTGACTCATTATCACCAATAATGATGGTTTTCCATGAGGCCCTGTTAAGCATAATAAGCAACAAAGAATCACTAAGAACATGTATAAACATATTATATACAAAGTATTTGGTATCCTCGTAAAGAATGAATAGTTTGTTTGTTTTGTTTTGCTCTGCTTTTTCGTTCAAGAAAACGTTGTTGCAAATCCATATCTTAATAAAACATTATAGTATAGACGGTTATTAGTTTTTTAATCCGATGAAAAGTAATTATTAGCATATTTCGGTATGTATTACACTTTGACAAAAGGCAACATATACTTTTGAGAGTTCATAAACAACGAATAGAAACTACTTAGGCTCAGTTAAGAAAGACATTAGGGATACCAAAATGATAACATATCTATTATTGTGCATTAATTTGAAGAAAACATTAACATGATTTAATGAATAACATCCCAGTACAAGGAGAAATCACAAAACAAAGATAGCATAGATTGGATGGAAAGGTCAAATTATAGTATTAGAGTGTTGTCACATATAGTGTAGTCACGTACTGCTACAAATATAATCCAAATCCACTCTGTGCTCAAACAGACTCCCTGCAGTAAAAGTGTCTCTCTTTCCACCCCCTGTCTCTGTCTCTCTCTCTGTCTCTCTCTCTCTGTCTCACATAGTGTAAACACACTATTTTCACAAGTCAGTATATGACAGTATTCTATATTCACTCTGCAATCAAATTATATGTGAGACAGAGTGTTCTTTCTGGCAGGGAACTGTATATACTCACCCAGAATTCTTCATGTAGGGCGCGGAAGTTTTTAATTGAATTTCTCAGCTGTTTTCTCGTCATTCTGTTGCCTGCTGACTCTAAGTATTCTTGTACAGAGCTGTGAAATCAAAAAGAGCAATCATCAGAAGATATTCAAGAAAAAATATATAATCGCAGCTACCTTGTAACATTCATAATAGAAAATATGCAATTTTACTAATAAATCTTGATTTCCTTTTGATTCATCCCTTCACTTTGAACAATGATAATTATAATATAATTTGCTGACATCATATTGCAATTCATAAATTGTACTAACATAAACACAGTGTTACTTTCTCTGGTTGTAAAGCTGACTAATAATAATGTACCATACTTAAATAGCTATTCCTATGCACAATTTGGCCCAAGAGGGTGCCAAAACTTCCCATGGACTTGATATAGATGGCAAGAAAGCAGTGTTTTTATTCTGACTGCATTCTTCAACAACTGAAACACGTTGCTGACCAATATTCACCATTTTCAATCTTTTATTTGTATTTTTCCATTTTTCATATGGATACAATAATACGGATGTAAATAATATGATAGCTTAGAGTTACAGGGACTATTTGAAAAAAATACCTTTCTCTTGGGGGCGAGGCTACCCATCTGACTGTTTCTGCCGGAGCATTAATGTCGAGTGTGAGTGACTGGGATGAACTTCTCCTACGAAAAAGAAGCAATAATGATAAATGGCTATGTGCTAAACATCAATTACAAATACAGAAGAGGATTTAAATGGCTTTATGGGTGAGCCTTTCTTTTTCACACTGACAACATTGGCTTTATTTTGTTAGTACACTTTTCTTTTAAAAACATATATATGATAAGAATACACCTGAACAAGGTGGTCGATACTTCCAAAAGTTGCAAATATTGCCATTTTTTTGTAAAAAGCAGTATTTATCTATTTTCAATGAGTCGCACAATGAAGAATTGTGATGCTCAATTTCCTTTTTAAGATCCCTATCACAAAATGTGAATAAAGAATGTAACAAAATGGGCACAAAATGTGCTGAAGCTTTTAATGTTTCTATACTTCTGCATCTTGTATATTTTGTAAGACTCTGAATCAATAGTTATTTTGCCAAACCCACAAATGCGTGAAAAACGCAAGTCCTGAGGGGCATCATCTCAGTCGTCTTAAAGGCTTCGTTTAACAATGTTAAATCTGACATGCATGGCCCTACGTGTTATCAGTGTCTGTGATATGGTGTAACAATGAAGCCCTAAAAAAATTGGGCTTCGAAATGATCATAAAGTGCCTCAAAAAAGTAAAAAATCTTTGAGTGACCAGTTTTACCATACTAATTTCACCAAAAGACTGTAGTGTTATAAACGGTTTTTAAAATTTTGATTTTCCAATCAGAAATATCTTGATAATCAGACAGGTGATCGGCTTGTAAAAGTCATGGGGTTCCTGACTGACCTAAAGGTTTATAATTATCATTGCAGCATGAACTAAATCCAGGATTTTGTTTCAGAATCTGAGACAAAGTTACCGAATCCCTTTAAGCTTTCAAAGTCTGTACTCCCGCATCTTGTACATTTTGTAAAACACTCAAACAAGAGTTTCTTTGCCAAACCCACAAATGCGTGGGAGAAGAAAGTCCCGAGTGGCTTCATTTCAGTCTCCATTTTCTTAATGAATGTTATTACCTTTCTTGCAATCCTTTGCTCTTTATCTTAATGGGTTCACTGCGGGCTAGTGAAGCGTATGTGTAGCCTGCCTCGGGTTGGACGAGTTGCCCCTCCTGCGTTGCAGGCTTGATGGGCGGGTACATGCATATTCGCTTCTCCTCGTCCCTCAGATGCTTGGCACGCCATGCTCTCCAGCAACAGTAGCATATCTATTATAAAAATGACATTAGGAGAGTATGGAAAGTGCGTATTTAAACATCATATTGATGAATACATGTTATCATTCAACTACACTCATGAATTGTTGATGTTTCATAAAATGTCTAGTTCTTGTTGTTTATTTGTTTACTATACCCCTTATCCTAAAAACTTGTTTTTCCCTTTGACTGTATGCCACGTATCTTCTGGCAATAATGTTTCCACTATCAATTTCCCAGACTGACCATCTTCAACCTGAAACCAAATCGCAACCCTAAAATAAATCCCTCCACGTTTGACAAAAATAAATCCCAGGGTTGGAATTCTGAAAGCAAATAGTTATGTTCTAAGTTAGTAAAACAATGTTACTTGTCATAACAAATAAAAATCAGGACAATCGATTGGTTAATGTCTACACAAAACTGACTGCGTTTGTGTAAAGTTAGAAAAAACATCTGCACAAGCACCTAAGGCAAGTGTTAGCATTTTCAGTTTGTTATGACAATCAACATCATTTTCCATAACACAAAAAAAAACATCATTTCCAGAATATGGCCCCAGTGAAACTGTAGCCAAAGCCAAGATTAGAGCACCTTCCCTTCTTATCGGAACAAACTTTTGACGTTTATGACAATGAAGGTGAATGAAAAAAATACAAATACTGTTACAAGGGATTGTAAAAAATGCATTCATATTTATAAGAATACTTACAATTGCTAGTAGAATAACAAAAACAGCACAACCGAAGCCAACTGCGTATGGTGCATAAGAGTGCTGCCAGAAGCCTTGCTCACTCTCAATTACTTCATGTGGGTATGCTGTTGACTACATAAGAAAAAGATAGGAGACAATGAAATTGATAAATTTCCTATTTCAGTGCATAAGTAGTTACAGACATCAAGTAGACATTAACATTTGAAGCAATTTCAATGGGTTCCACCTATTGTGTAATGCACTGATGTGTAAATCACAATAAATTTATTTTTTAATTTAATTCAATTTGAAGTGAATTGGGCTTTATCAAGAAAAAAATGTAACATTCAGAAAAAGTATTATGATGCATGCTAAAATTTGTTACTATAGAAAATGTTTCATGTGTAATTCACTGTTGACACACAGATAAACTGAAACACAGATACTCCTGAACATTAATTTATCAATTGTTTGATTACCAAATGAAATGATTCTCCATGGAGTCCACATTAGAAAAATGTGGTTTGGAAAGTGGCATGCAACTTACCACACTGGGTCCTGTTCCCTGAGACATTTCTGGATATGGCTGTGTTTCTAACCCTGTCGGTTTCACCACCATGGCAACAAATTGTCATTCACAACAAGATGTGGCAGCAACACAATGTCAGGTGGCACAAAATGGCTTAAAGAAAACAAGCTTTCTGGCAGTGAAAGTCTTCTTTTGTGTGATGAAGGAAAGATTATGGCGGTGATGTCGATGTTGCATCTAGTTGCTGCAATGCAGGATTCTTAGAACATGAGGTGGCAGCAACACAACAACAACTTCAAAGTGTAAAAAGGCTTGTAGAAGATGAGGTTTCTGGCAGTGAAAATCTTCTCTCTTGTGGTGATGGTAGCGTTGTTGATGTTGCAGATGTTTGAGCTGATGTATCTATAGCTAGTTTCTGTGATCACTTTGAATCTTTATGGGTGTTAGAGGAATGTTGCTGTGATGGTTGTCTTACATTGGATAGCTACGAGACTGAACAGGTGGTTTCAAAGTTGTTTGTTGCAGTGTGTGTTGCAGTAGCAGTGGCACAAATTGGCAGCAAATGCAGCAACTTAATTTGATAATATGACACAAAATATAAATTGCAAAAAATAATTCATGCCACAGTTTTCTATTTTACAATAACACCTACTTTTTAATGATTAAAATGATGATAAATTAGGGTTATAATAGTGCTAATAACTTCAGACTTGGTGGCAAATTATTTTCTTGTGTTTGTGTATGTGCTTGGATACTACTCGGTGGTTTTGAAATATCACTTACAAAATCTTATCAGTTGCTTGGAAACTTTTTGCTTTGAGACTTGATAAAAATGAATTCTCATATCATTTTGCTTTCAAACTGCATCAAGAAAGTAAAATAGTTGAATTATAGATTGCTACCAGAAACATCCTGAGTGTATTTTGGGTCGAAGTGATAACCTTTCAGTTTTGCTAATGTAAGCTAGTGCACCTTATTGCTACCGGTAATGCCTGTATGTGATCATCGCAGGTGATTGTGCTGGCGGTCTTGCTGGTGGCTGTGTAGCTATATATCGTGCCTTAATTTATTTGGAGCATGCAAATTGGCAATCCAGCTAAATGTGTAGATCATTCCCTGAATGTCAGTTAGCTAGCTGGTGCACGTTTCCCATTTCGTGATGGCTCAGCAGAAATACAGCTGCATGCAGCGATGACAGCGTTGCCTGGGGCCACAGACACAGGCCTGAGCTACTACGGTAGAAGTTCATCAAGCTTAAAATCTGTGTATCTTTGGTCTGCTGTAGTTAATGCTCCTGATATTCCAGAATATATCAAAGCTTATTCCAAGAGTAAAGTTGCATCCCAATGCTGGCCATGCATGACACTGCATTCATTTGAAGCCATCTAATAGAAAAGAGGGAAAAGCACAATAGACTTTGTATAAATAAATCTGTATTGAGAATTGTAGGGGGGGGGGGGAATCAGTACTGGTTTCAATAAGAAATTTTATGGGTAGCAGAGAAAGAATGGTGCTATAATTACTGATATCTTCATAACTACCCAAGTATGTCAAATTAATTTTGTAATCTCTTACATTTTTTAATTTTACAAATACCCTTACAAAAAAACTTTTGTAAATATATCTTTTGATTTCAAGAGATAATATCGTCCACCTAATGACTTATTTCTGATAAGTTATTCATGGATAGTTTTTAAAAGGAAACCTCTAAATCATTTGATTTTCTCCCACTGGTTCACAAAAGGTTATCTTCCCATTGAAAACCTAAGAGTAAAATCATCTGATTTTCCTCTGCCGGTTCACGAAAGTCCAAGTTGAAATGCGAGGAAGCGCTTGGGGGATTCGATCGATTCCCTCTTCTTTATCATACTCGAGGTGGACCAATAACTGGGGCAGAGATTTTGGCAATGGAGCCGTGGAAGATGATTCACGATCCCCCGAGATTCAAAGCTGCAACACTTGCAGTTGGGACTCAATTAGATTGCCAATTTGTGAGAGGATTCAACATACGTCACTGCAAGGGTTAGGCGAGAATATTATGATTACGGATCAGTATGGAATACAAATCATGGCCAAATCCCTCTCTTTGTTATAATCAATGATCAACGAGGACAAGATAATGAAAATGAGGATCCTTTCCATTTCCCGTCGCATTCCGCTACCACATTATTACCAAAGAATGGTTTCCTAATCAACAGTCATATCCATAGGGGGAAGAGAGAAGCTGTTCTCGCATAATTATTTCTTGATTGGTCTATTTTTAACGGGACCAGGGGTTCGTTCCCCTCAAGGAACGATCATTACCATGATTGGAAACTGAACATACCAGAAGTGTCATTAATCTTTCATTTGCAATGAGTTCTGTCAAGGAGCTACTTGTCTTGTACTGGTCAGAGTCAAAGGCCACTTGGACAGGCAGGTGGCTGAACTTGCAATTTCCTATCCCGTTACTAATGAAATATTTCCCATTGCAATGATGGAAAATGTCAACAAATATGTATTTCTTGTGTATGTTGCGAGTATTTCGTGAGTATTATGATTTGTCACAGTTGCTTGCCTTATAGGCTTTTATGATTTCAATTTCAATTTTTATACATACTGTATTGTAAATGTTTTTTTTTACGAAGAATGGAATAAATATACCAACAATTAATTTGTACACCTACGTTCTTTAATTGCTGTGGTAAATGAAATGACCTACTGAACTTAAAAGATTAATCCAGTTCACCAGCAGGACGTTTCACCTTTAACTACTCTTCATGTGGGTTCTACAGCATGATTGCCTTTTAAATGTCATGTACACACTTCACCGTGACACTGTGCCAATGTCAACACAGAACTCCTATATCGTCAATGGCAACTCACTATGCAAGGAGGCCTCAAGGCACTCCAAATCACATTCACCTCCAAACAAACCGGTATCTTATTCTCAAAAGGTGCACCAGATAGAGCGGAAGTACCGCCGAGAGTGAAAAATTTAGAACAATCGCCATAGCAACCTAACCCAATTGGAAGCGCCACTAATTTAATTTCTACGTGCGTACCTGCCTGCCCTCGAGGTTCAAGCAGATCATGTACATTGCGTATTACACATTGAATTGATTTGGAGAATTTATACAATGGAGGTTTCCATAGGTTTCAGTGTGACAATCGAGTACCTCACAATTACAGTGTGAGCACTGCTTTTTCAGGTTTGTTCAGAAATGGTGCAGTAACGTCCGCAAAAAAACTATGGCGATTAACAAAAAAAACATTTTAATTTGTAAAATCAGTGGCAACTGCGCACGGCAAAGGACCTGAGCGTATTCACTGAGCTCTGTGTTATAAGATACAGAAATGTGAAGCGAATTACACATTGCGTCGTCATTAAAAAAACTGCTGTACTTTTGCAGCGTCATATGTGAACAAGTCTTTTTGTGTGGGATTCGATCTCTTGTGTACAAAAGGTGATGTAACTAAAATCAGCGCCTTAAACCGCTCGGCTATCGCGCTCTGTTACCATACTTAACAGTTTTCTCTAATATATAGATTAAAATGGATTGAAAACGGCTTCGCGTGGTCGATGCTTCACGGCTGCTCCATTAAACAGGCCCTTCTTTTACTTTTGCAATGCATATTGGCACGAACTTAGATCAAGATCAATCAGCAGATGTTGTTTTTTTGTTTTTGGAAGTTTATTTTCGTCTTCATGTCAACAATGCAAGATAAAATTGTCGGTAAGATCGATCGAGATTCAATTGTATTGAAATTACCGACCAATTCTTCGCACACGTACGGTATCCTCGATCGCTCAGACCATTTTTTAACATGTAAACCTATGGGGTAACCATGGAGACTGAACTATTTTCCCGGTAACCATGGTTATTGGGATTTTAGAACTGTTTTAACCATGGTTACTGGGAATTTTCGGGAACAGTTAAAGTTTATGAATGCAATTTCGACCAATCAGATTGCTGGATTACTTAAGTGAGGTATATAATATTTTTTAATCGATGTGAAATTCATTCACAATGAGCTATCTAGTATGGTTCTTATGACAACCAAGCACTTCACAATTTTGTGTGAACATTGCTTTGGACTAGGGTTCACTAATAATCAGCTGTATTTTGATTACTATGGGTCTTTCCTTCAGGGGTGAGGGGTACTGGTGGTAGTTGTCTATTACAGACATAGTTTAAAATGCGACACTGAATTCACCCATTTAAAAATATTTTTTATTCTCTCCATAACATCAATCTTCTCTGTTTCTGGAGGAGATGACACAGATGAATCAGGTTAACATACAGCGAGCTTGGGGTAGTCTGTTTTACAAGGAAATTCCTGGTAGGGGTTGTCTTAATGTGCTATTGGAGATACCAATACAAGATCCTCAACACACCCTTGTTAAAATCTACAACTGTATTTATTTTCCTCCTGGATGTCATAACAGTCTGATCTGTTTCCTAGAAAAGATGACGCAGATGAAAAATGGTTAACCTTCAGAAGTCTTGGGGTAGCTTTTTTTTTGGAAACAAGACCAAAATTTCTCGACCAAATATACCCTAATTGCAACTGCTGGCTGATGAAAACACAAATTATCTAGTTAATTTGTGATCGGGATAGTTAAAAAGCGGGTTATTTGGCAAACTCGAGCTGATGAAGGCAGGCCTAAGGATATTCCTGGGAGGGGTTGTCTCAATATATGGCAGACCTAATAGGAATAACCAATCCTCAACTCACCATTGTCAAAGTATATTTTCTTCCCTCCTGGATGTCATAACATTCTGATCTGTTTCCTGGAGAAGGTGACGTAGGTGAGGTAGCGACAGTGGCCTTCTGATGACGATCTCACATTGTCTGCAGCATCATCGCATCCTGAATGGAAAATTTGTAAAAGGTGAAAGTTGTTATTCATTAATCAATGATTGAGTTTGGGAAAGGAGGAATATTGGCTATGATTGTTATTTCTAATTCTCTAACTAAATGCCCACACATAGGTGAAAGTTGTTTTTCATTAATCAATGAATAGGGTTGAGTTTGGGAAAGGAGAAATATTGGCTATAATCGGTAGTTCTAATTCTCTTTCTAAATGCCCACATATATATCATACGTCTCAGCACGTTATAAAAAGAGTCCATTTTCGTAATGTACCAGTTAGCAAATGTCTTTGTGACGTGCCTCGTTATAAATTATTTTAATTAACTGCAACAAATAATCATACTTCAACAGTCAGAATGCAAAGTGCATGTATTAAGTTTGTCTGACCTAGCAACATTTAATATATACAATTTGCATCCTGACTACAGAGATATAATATCAACAGATGAATAGAATTAAGCAGGTCGCGACATGTATATAACACATATTAATTTGAATACATTTTATATATGGCCTATTCATAAAAATGTGAACTGTAATTCGAAGTCACTCACTTTCACAATTAGCACTATCCCAATGTGTGGTGAACTAATTCATCAAAATACAAACATTTACAAATACAAAGTGATTCTGTTGATGATGATGACTAAAAAATGACAATCAGAACCATTTGACTGTGTACTTAATATGTAAAAACTTCCTCTTATCGTATATATTTATCACAAAAATAAACACAGTGACATGTGTTTGAATGGACTCTGGCTGGGAAAGTGCCATGTGTGTTAAACACGTTGTAGAACAAGGTACTTCCGATAATACAAATGCAGACTGATATCACCCAGGGTTTTTTTTTCTAGGGTTGTGTACTCCATGAATAAACTGCCAACGGATGACATTTCAAACTTGAATGAATGACCAAGCTTGGGTTTACATGGGTCATCTATTGTAATATATTTCATATTAGCGTTAGGATGGTAGTTTTATAAAATATCTTTAGTAGTAGTCAAATATACAAGTGGTATTTCCTGCAATTTTCTTAATGCAATTATTTGGAATTCATTGTAAATTTCCATGTTTTTTCTAATTTGTGCAGTTTTGAAATAAACTGCCAAAAGATGATACTCTGAATTATAGATGACAGAACTTGAGCTGTTTTTTTCACTGTTCGGTTATTGTGTGTAATGTTTAATATGAATCATGAAATGAATAGTGTACAGTAGTTGTTATAAAATATCTTCAGTAGTAGTAAAAATACAAATGACACTTTCCAGTGATTTTATTACCCGGTATGCAATCGTGCATTTATTGTATATTCTTAATTTTTCGTATCAGATTCTATCACAAAGTCCACATTAATCAACATTTTGCAGCCTCTTCTTATTGGTAATTACTTGTTATTTACTGTTGGACACAAATATTTGAAATTGTTTTCTACAAGTATTCTCCAATCAAGACTTAATTGACATCACTACAGTATTGCACATAAGTAAAGTATTACTCGAAACCCTTATGTCAGTAAAAAGTTAGTAATTACTTTAATTCCAGGTAAAGTACTATCTTAATTAGTAATAGAACATGCTTATGCCTCGAACTGCATAACGTTCTGTGCCTGCATGGCGAGCAAGGGAGCAAGCACCATTAATGTTAAATTTTAACCTTGTTTAAAGTGTATATGATAATGTAGAAGAAAACACAGAGACTGTGCATACATGTACATTGTGTGCGGGTAAGCCTGAATCTGATGACCAGGGTAATAATATATATTTGTTAAGCGCTTTGAGAGGGCCTGCGGTCCTGAAAAGCACTATAAAATACCAACTATCATGATTATTATATTATCCCTAACATCAACAACAACAATTATAATAATAGTAATAATAATAATTAGTATTAATAACAATAATAATAATAACATAATAAAATAATAAAGTTTACACTGCAAAACTTCCGGAACATAAATGTAAACCTTAGTGAGTATAAGGTATATAAAATATAAAATGGTGTAAAACATGCAGTATTTTTCTAGAAATGTACATGCATCCTCTTGCACCGTAATTCTTTTGTACACTCTATGATATATTCTCGATTCATTTGTCAAGTCACCCATGACCTTCATGGTTTAGAGCCATATTAAGCTGCACCCAGTGTTACAACATCAATCATGATGTACTCATCAATTGTAGGCTCCAGCTACAACCAATGAAGAAATGTTCGAGTGCATCTCACAATTTACATGTGTACAGGGTGCCTCAAGATAAGTTTGCATCTCAGCATCACACTCATTCTATGTACATTCTCAAGTATCTTTTTTTTCAGACACCCTATATTTGATGCATGTGCATGCATGTTTATAATCCTTGCTCTTGAGGATTTCATTTCCAATATCCCCTAGTTCAATTTGTCAAGTGTTTTCAGATGAACATAAGAGCTCTATGATGAATGACCTATCACAGCTAAATACATTAAAGAACTTATGATTTTAAATTCATTTCAGTCTAAAAAGAACATATCAATCTTTTGGAATACCCGGTATCTGATGCATGTACATGCATGTTTATATCTCTTGCTCTTAAGGAGTTAAGTTTTCAATATCCTCTAGTCCAATTTGTCAAGTGTTTTCAGATGAGCATGAGAGCTCTTTGATGAATGACCTATCACAGCTAAATACATTAAAGAACATATGATTTATAATTAATTTCGGTCTAAAAGGAATACATAAATCTATCTTTTGACATACCCTGTATCTAATGCATGCATGTGCATGCATGTATATAATCCTTGCTCTTCAGGAGTTTATTTTCAATATCCCCTAGTTTAATTTGTCAAGTGTTTTTAGATGAACATGAGAGCTGTATGATGAATGACCTATCAGAGCCAAATACAATTAAAGAATATATGATTTAACAATCATTTCGGTCTATAAGGAATACATAAATCTTTTGAGATACCTTGTATCTGATGCATGTGCATGAATGTTTATATCCCTTGCTCTTCAGGAGTTTATTTTCAATATCCCCAAGGTTAATTTGTCAAGTGTTTTCAGATGAACATGTTCGGTCTAAAGAACATAGGAATCTTTTGAGATACCCTGTACCCCACGCATGTATACGACCCCTGCTCTTTGGAAGTTTATTCTTGGTATCTCCTAGTCCAATTTGTCAAGTGTTTTGGAATGAACAGAGGAGCGCCAGTGATGAATGACCTATCAAAGCCAAATATGTTCAATAAATATAGTAGGACGGCTGTGCATGTACAGACCCCTCATCTACGACGTGCAGGCTGAATACAAATTGAACTCTGTAACATTTGCATGAAAACAGCTATTTATGATTTATTTCTGCTATTTAGCTCTATTATTGATACTTCCACTACATTGACAACTACTTCAGGTTTCTTTTTTATCTCAAGGATCCTTATATTAAACACACAAATGCATTCTATAATTTCATTAAATCTGTATTGTACAGACCGGAACTACATACTTGGTGCAGATTTTACAAAGCACACTCAGGTTTCAGTTGCCTTTCATGCCTTTATATTTTTTCAAAATCCATATGTCTCTCTATAAACTCAAATATAGTTTTTACTGAGGTTATTTTATTTAGAACATCATTCAAAAGGTCTGTATTTTTTTACAGATCTTATCAGAAGTGTACATGTTCAAATATGTACTGTACAAATCCACAGAATGCAATTTGCTGTGAAGTCATATCATGTTCAGACCTTATCAAATACTGTTCCTGGTAAAATACATTTATTGATTGAAATAGAGTAGACACTCTCACACTCACATGTGACTGCATGTATTGTGGTCGCATGGTGTGACTTGGTGTGAGGGTGTCTACGTTATTTCAAGCAAAACTGTTCATGTATATATTCAATAGTATTAAAAATGTGATATCATTCAGACTTTCTACATTGTAGGCCTTTAGCTAAATGCTTATTTACAAACAATATCATATATATGCAGCAAACACCTACATAATATTCTAAATTTGTTGTATGGTTTGATAGCTATTTCATTGATGTACTTGGGCCTCCTCTGTTTTACTCTAATTATATTTTTCATGTACTCTCACAGTGATAATATTATTGATGACGATATTCTGTTCCTTGATAATAATAATAATAAATAATGATAATAATAAAGCAGTGCTTATGATATAAAGTGTTTTCCACCAAAGTCTTTAAGTATCTAAGCGCTGTATACATGTAGAACAGTACAATATGATGTAACATCTCTATCACTTCAAATCAACTTTGCATATTTCGACAACCGTAGCGCTAACCATGTACATTCATGAAATAAATGCTACCAGGTACCTATTTATACAATTGGGTCAAGTGAGGCAAATGTAGATATCAATGTCTTGTCAAAGGGCGTTAGTGCTGCGATTTGGTGACATTCTACTATGAATCTGTAATTTTTTATTTTTCACCAGCATATTTTCTACCAGCATGTCTAAAAAAATTGTTTCATGTAAATAATCTATATCCTGATACACTATCCATTATCATGTATTTCTTTGTCCTTTTGTGTTGACTAGGTGTATGTATTCATTTTATAATGCATGTAAACAAGATAAATCTCCATATATGGACATTAAAAATGGAAATAATGAAAATTCACTTCTGAAAGTGGTACTCCGAATACTCTTTGTTCTATGTATCCACACTGAGATGTGTAAAAGCTACGAAGAATGAATTATTCACATCTATTCTGGGAGGGTAATCATTAATGAAATATATGACCTTCATTGCTCAATTGCAGGCTGCTTGATTGATAAAGCAATCAAACATTTCCAAATTTCAATCGAACATTTCGCTGATCACGAGCAGACAGACAGACGGCGCTTGCTCAACTTGAAATCCTAATTACAACCTGAAATTAGGTCTCTACCACTCTCCTACAAATGTATACGCCAGCCTCAATACTCGCCTCGCACGTACAGCATGTATACGTGACCAGAAAGACAAACATTACAGTCGGCGTGGAT